CCGTAGAGCCCAAGCGTACCCAGATATTCTTCATGGAAATGCTTGGGACCTTTGGCTGCTTGTCCAAGGCAGATCCCTCTGCTCAATCAGATCTCTACATAGATAAAACCCGTGATATCAGTCCTACCTGTCCTCCACAGTCCTTTTTTGCAGATTTCCAGAATGTAAACCCTGTGAATGCTCCCTTCCCTACTCCTCACAGGGTTTCACAAGTCACTGAGGGCTCGGTTAGCACAGATGGCTGAGGCTCTTGGTGCAGGAGAGCCTTTATGTCAATCTTATTTTACTAACAATTTCCCACAGCAATGTGCAATGAAAGCCTTTTAGGAAAAACAGTTTTGAATGCAATATGACTTGAACACAATGAAATGCTAATGAGATTCCACGGAAAACTGCTAACATGAGATATATAGAAAGTTTTGTGTGTGAAACTTATCCTCCTATAGGGATTTGCCCATAGGGAGGAAGGGTCTGTCTCTAGGCCTGCTGTCAGTCCAAGTGGGAAACACTTCTGGAAGTTTTCCCTTTTGAGTGTTTTATTGACAGTCTGTGTGACCTATTGATCTATATTTCACTCGCCAAGCTGTGTATTGCATTCAGTGATACTAAATCTGCCAAAGATGTCTGCTGCATTAACTCTGTAATGGAATAAGTAGCCCTTCAGGCAGGCCTCCCTGATGTCTGTCTGGGGCCTTAGGTGTCAGGTGTGAAGCCTACGTGCTGAGCTGCAGCCAGGCCTGTGGCTGGAGCTACTTTGTCACATGGGGTTCTTGTTGGCCAGGCTAGCTTGTTCTTGTACCCAGCTAACTCTCAGCATCACAGGTTGCCTTTGGTTCTATGACTTGAGACACACGATGCAACTAGGCAGCAGATCTCAGTGCACAAGATATGGATCCTGGTGTCAGGATTAAACCTTGCAGATCTGCCTAAGGGAGCCAACCTCCCTTCATTTCTGTGCATCCCAGCAGGGAATGAAGCTATCGGGGACTGTGCTGAGTCTGGAGATGTTGACTGGATGTTGTGTTGTGTTGAGGGACATGGTTTAGTAGGAGCTATTGGGAATAGGTGAACGGTTGGACTGGGTGATCTTTTAGGTCTTTTCCAACCTTGGTGATTCTATGATTCTATGATTCTATGAGTGCCGCAGAGCTGGGCCCACATCTCCTGCTAGGCAGATGGGACGTGCTACATGATTTGCCTTATGCATTTTGCATGTATGTGCTGTAAATGTACATCTTGAACTCAAAAAGCATATTCCTTTCCACCAACTTAAGTTACTTCCAGGGTAGCCTCCTCACCAGCCTTTAGCATCAGATCCTAGGTGGAGCAACTGTTCTTTAGAAGTATCCTTATTCAAAACATTCTTAATATCTAACTAAGCAAATCTTTTTCCTAAAATGGGTATTTGGGAATTGCTCCAAGAACACCAGTGATTGATAACAAGATTACAGTATCTGATTAGTGTGGATATAAACTTCAGGCCAGCAATGAAGCTGGAATTCTTTTCTAGTCCCCTTCTTCCTTTGTGAAGTGTTTGTTCTGGAGGCACTTGGCTGCATGCTTTGTATTAGAGACGAGTCAGCGTTTATTTTAAAAGCAGGAACTCTATTTTTTGCGTATTTCCAACTGTTCCATTTTTAGAAACACCGATGGGCTTTGCTACAGTTTCTCTGGGAATGGTGAGTATGTGAAGAATGCAGGACAGACTGTCTATAAAATGGGGAGAACCAGAGCCACAAGAAGGCATGTTAGCTCTCCAAGGCAGGTTGATGCACCTCACCGTCATACCCCACTGTCTCCTGCCTTCTCCCCATGAATACATCATCAAAACTTCCCCATGGCATGCATACTCCTTAGCCTCTTATCTCAGGAAGGTGGAAGGCAGTTGAGAGATGAGCACTTTGTCAGGGCTGCTGGTTGGAGGAAGCCAGGCCACGGGAAGGGATAAGGGGAATTGGTCTTCTTCCTTCATTGGGGGAGCAGGGCGTGAGGTAGAGGAGAGGGTGTATCCTCTGAGGTTACATCTCAGAGACTTCACTGTGGCCCAGCCAGAGAATATACTTTGGTCAACTCTATATAAACATGGCAGTCGCTGGTTTCCTTTAAAATTTAATAGCGAGGAAGGAAACCCGGTCAAAGAGAGATCGTAGTGATAAATTGGTCCAGTTTCATATTTTTGCACAGATCTTGGTTATGGTAATTTTGTGTGGTGCTTTCAAATATTGTGGGAGGTTTTCAAAGGCACAAATTAGTGTGAATTTCTAGTCCTGTGTTTTTGGTGAGCATGTTTATCCTGAGCAGTGAGATGCAGGAGCACTGCCCAAGTTTGCCCAGGGCTTGAAACAGTGCAACCATGTTAGCATAGTGCTGCACCTGAAAAGAGAAGCTCTTTGGCTTGATCACAATAGAGGGCCGTAGGGCCAGAAGGATTTTCAGGAGGCTTTCTAGTCAATTCTTCCTTCTTAAGGCCAGCACAGTTGTTCTTCAAGAAAACTGTGTAAGTCTGGGAGGCTCTGGAGTCCCCTCCTTGCTTCAAAAGCAACCTGGACATGGTCCTGAGCACTGTGCTCTGGATGTCCCTCCTGGAGCTGGGGTTGGGCCAGGTGTCCTCCAGCGTTGCTTTCCTCTAATGTGCTCTGATACTGTAATTGCTCTCTCCGACCTCCAACAGCAGATCCCAACACTTAGTTCTTTACTGTTAGCTACTTTCCTCGTCTCTTCACATGAAAGATAGATTGCTGCTATCCTGCTTGCACATTTTGCACATTTGCGTACTCCTGCCATGTCCGTGACCCTCCCTTCTTCCTGTCTAACACAGTTTTGCTGCTTCTGGTACTCAAAAGATGAAGTAATTCAGTATTCAGTGTGCAGCTGTACTGTGTCTTGTAGATGTGCATGTTCAGAGTGGTCCCACTGCAGGAATTAGCTCATCCCTTCCCAGGGCATCACGGACATACCAGAAGTGAGCAGGGTATTCACTTTTCTGTTGTGACTGAATCTGTGCCTCTTAAACACAGCCTCAAGTGCTTGGCTTATGGAAATTTATGTAACTGTGTTAAGTCGCATGGTTTACATGCCAGAATGTGTCCCTCCTTATAGCAAATGAATGTGTTATTCCTGACCAGAGAAGCTGGACTATGCCTAGTAGCTGAGGTAATATTTGAGAGGTTCCACAAGCTCAGTGAGATTATTTGGAAGTCACAGATGTTTAGACACTGGCATCAGATTTTGTCTTCATTTTAACCTGGAAGCAGCAAATGCATTGAAGTCTCCACAGTGCAGAGGAGTGGACAGAGAGGCACAAAGTGCTGTGGGATTTGCTCTTTAGTATCAATGGCTTCACTTAAAATTCAGTGTAGAAAAACCTTCAGAACAAATTGAAATAAACAAGAAAATAAGTTTCAGAAGTTTGCATTATTCATTTAAGCTTATAGGAATAAACAATGAGATATTGCCAGGGCTGTGTGAAACATGGACAAATTTGAGTCTCAAGTACTTTACCTCATATCATCACAGCTGTTTTCAGTGGAGCACTCCAGGGTCAAACCAGGAAGAAATTTAGTTTCTTAATTAAAAAAACAAAAAAAAAACCCACCTCCTTTACATCCCATTTAATTAAAACCCTGGGTGTCAGGTTCTGTGGTTGTGGAAGAGCTTGGTAACAGTGTGATGAATAATTCATTCACTATTTTTTGTTGGGTGCAAAAGACAGTGGTTTTGGATGGGTTCATAACAACAACCTTGTCTTGCTGGTCCCCATCACAAGAAGAACCCTGGAGGATCCCAAACTAAACCATGGGTGTCACAAATGAACCGGAGTCTTCTGTAGGTGATTTGCATGCATAAAGAGTAACATGGGGCAGCTGTTACTGAGCTGTGAGCTGCTTACAGGAGCAGCAGAAAATGTGTGTGTGTGTGTGTGTGTGTGTAGCTTATATATGCATTCCCATGACACTCTTCAGAAGTAAACACATGGGTAAAAACCTCTCTGCCCTGCACTGAACATCTGTGCTTGCAAAAGCCTGTGCTAGTGCAGGATTTGTGCTTCAGGGTGTGGGAGCACACCCAGGGTAAGGTCAGGGAAGTTCTTCGCTCATTTGGGACCTGAAGAATTTGTAAACAATCTTTTATTTATTTATTTAAAAAACCCTTCCCCCTGCTGAGGTGTGGGAGATCCATGCAGCAAACAACAATGGTGATGTGACAAAGGAAGATCTTTGCCACCCTGAGCCCTCAGTGTATGCTGACTGCTATCAGGTCTCTATTACAGCAGTATCAGCTCTGAGAAAACCCACAGGCTTTTCTCTTTTGTAGTAGGAAGCAATAACTAAATCAGTACTAGGTAAAAATAACTAATCATGTGTGTTTGTAACATTCCCTTTTAACGTAGTTTGACTAAAATAATTTTCTCCCTTCCAATTCTGTTGTGGTTTAGTCACTGAGCTGTAGACTTCCAGTTATAATTGTCCCAGTCTTCCATTTTCCAGCTGCGTGCAATCTCTAAGAACTGCACAGCTTATGTCTAGACGACCCTCTGAGAAATCTCTCTCTGTGGCCTTACTTAGCTGCTGCAATGACACCGAGACTGATGATGTCAGCCATTTTCGAGACTGATAGCCGTGCCTTTCATGGCTTAGTTAGCGGAGGCTGGGCAGACTCTTGGAGTTTTATGCTGAGACCAGATGCATACACACATCTGCATACATACCCATGCACAGCTAGTCTTCTGAGGATGATTAGGCACCGTGCTTTCATGTGGTAGTGTTATAAGCCTGTTTTCACCAGCATTTCATCAGTTTTTCTTTTAGGCTTCTGCATGCAGCTTAGAGTTGGAATTTAATGAGGACTGATACAATTCCACTGAAATTGGATTAGCGGGAAACTTCAGCAACACAGTGGCCTGCACAGATGTGTTGCTGGGGGATGATGCAAAGCTTCTCCAACACAGCAAGTCCTTTACAGATTAAGCCAAACCTAAATTTCTCCAAATCTTTCCACAGTGTCAGCATATTGCCGTGTGAGATACTGAGGAGGACATGTTCAATTTCCATGAGCTCTGGAACCCTTCCTACTGACTTCAGCAGGCCTTCACTCAGGTCAGCTAACAGCAAGCACATGATAACAGTGTTTCTTCTGCTTTTCTCTGACTATGATATATCAGGCTTTTCAGCAGTACAGTGGAAGTTACTGTAGAGGAACATGTTTCTCCTATTGACCTGAGGGCCTAAAAGCAAGTTCAACTCTTGCAGGTGAAAAACAGGCTTAGGAATAGGAGGAAGAATTCCAGTCCCTTCTGCTCTCTGTCCATAGCAGTCATTCAAATCTGCAGTGAGACTCATCTCACTCAACACCCATTGTTTGAATTGCCTGATTTTGCTGATTATTTCTAAGGTGACAGTGAGGTGGAATGCATCACGCCATGTACACACACCTTTTTCTGCTTCTTATTTAGGTATTTCGGGGTGAGTAGGTCAGATATGAGTGTCAACAGTTTGGACATGTATATGTGGCCAAGTGAATTCTACCCCAGGGCTGCCTCCAAACTAGTAAATCAAACATGCCTAATACTGTTCTTGGCCTTGAGCCCAACTGGGATGGAGATGCTTGCTTCCATGCAGTAGTTGAGTCACCCTCCTAAACCAGGTCACTCTCTGCAGACTTCATACTTTGAGTGATTGCTGGACCCTTCTAACTCCTTAATCATGCACAAGAAACATTAGATTGGTATTGGCACAATCAAAGCCATTTCCGTTACTGTGGTAACAGTTTACACTATTCATAATCATTTTTTCATGCTTAGAAATGTTCCCCAGCACTGTTTAATCTACTAGCATAGACATGGTAAAGGTAGGCACCTGTGCGGGGAGAACAGAACACATGAACTAGGCTAAGATATTTCCAATCCCATCTTTTCCTGTTCCTTTAGACCACAGAAACATAAGGGTGGGTCCATGTTCGCATGATGTATGTCTTCTGTCTCTTCCATAAAGCACAGTTTCATAACTTAAGTTATATAAGTTTCATAACTTAGGCTGAGCTTGATAATGGAATAAAGAAAGCATGGAAGATTGACCATGTTTGGTCTTCACTGTCACTTACCAGACAGATAGACAAAGCTTTCCATGTTGCCCCAGAAGAAGGAATTGTGTTAATGAGGTTCCCTAAAGGATGTGTAACTCATCCTCACAATCGTGCCTTGTTTAGTCACCAAAGGAAATACAAGCAACCATCATGGTATGGCCCAGGGCTTTATGTGAATGCTGGCGATATAGGTCAAAACTGTAAGGCTTCCTTCTGTTTTCAAGTCCAGAGCATCAAGAAACAAGATTGGTCATCAGTCCAGCAAATATATCAAACAGTTTTAAAACATTTCAGCATTGGAAGTTTCCAGTCTGATGGGCAAGTTGCCTGGTACAAGAGGCATACAGTTTAAACAACCACTCTCCTAAGAGATCATTAAAATTAAATTGTGGATTAACATCTCTATCTTTACAGCCCTGGAGCAGAGTGGCTGCCTAGGTATTTCATAATGGAGTATCTAAACCTAGCAGCACATGGCTTAGTCTGCTGAATAATATACAGTATTATATAATGAAATAATACTAAACTAGGTTGTTCTGATAATGATGTTATTTGAAAATTTCAGTATCTTTAATGCCACTTATGTTTTGAATGTCAGTTCGATTTGGGGAGAAAAAAGATTTCAGAAGAAACTAGGGGGAGAACGATAGGAAATTGTGCAATATACTTATCTGAGACTACATCACATGGTCTGCAAAGCACTGCTTTTGCTTTTATACACATACCCTTGGCGACTCTCCCACTAGCAACAATAGTGCTTAGACTCATACTGATGTCACTGTTGAGTTATTTAATTTGACCGAAAGAGATTAATGTGTTTATTTAAAACCTTGGTCAAAATGGAAAAGAAAATCTTGGGACAATACTTTTACGTGGACGTGTATGTTTTCATATCTGATGATTGCAGTGTCGCATTAACTTATCAGGGGCAGCTGTTGACACACACTAACGCCCCGGAGACCCCCTCAGATAAGAGCTGGAAGCCATTTTCCCTGTCAGCCTGGAGCAGAGACTTCCATACCACTGCTGGTGCTGTGGGCTTTCATCCCAGGCTGTCTTCTCTTGCTGCTGCCTCCAGGGCCGATCCACAGCCATCCCAGCATTGTTTTATTTTCTCGCGTGAGGATGTGGTTTGGTGCAGCCAAGTAATGACAGCAGCGCAGTGGCATGTGGAAGCCAGCAGGTTGTGATGGGGCAGCAGGGGACAGACACTGCAACTGCACAGACTACATAGAAGGTGCTGGGCTCTGTGGGCCGAGCCTCCTCCCTCTAAGGCATTAGACTTACTATGTTTTACATGGGTTGCTCCAAAAGTAATGCCTTTTATGTATTTCCATGGAAATTACAATAGATTCAAAGAGCACAATAACGCTATTTGATAGAGCAAATTCTCAATGACAAAACACTATTTTTCAACAGTCACCACCATTAGTTATGTATTTTTGCCAGCCATGAACAAGAGCCAGCATGCCATACTTGTAAAAATCAGCACCAGCAGAGGGACCCAATGTCACTGTAACCACTGCTGAAACGCACCACCCACTGCCTCATTGTGCTCACATCCACTGTTTGGGCTCTATAAACCTACAGCTAGTGTCAGTGGGTGCCATTTTTTCCACATCAAGGAATTCTGTGAGACGCCTTTGCTTCACACACTCCCATATCAGACACCATTTTCTCACACTGCCCCTAAGTTGCCATCTGTCACACGTCAACAAAATGTAACGAGATATTGATGGGAAGGTTCAACCTCTACTGCCATACCACCAACATTTACCTCTGATGTCCTGGGCCAACATCATAAAATAGGAAGCATTACTTTCAAGCAGCCCTAGTACTAGCAGATCAATGGTATCTCCCTGTAGTAAATAATTCTGAACTTTTTTAATTTTTCACTTGTACCCTCTAAATGTTTGGAACAAACTTCAGTTTGATTAAGAGGCATCAGCAACTCTCCAGTTAAATACTCCAGGTCATTGTGTGTTTACAAACACAGAGGGGAAAAGAAATCCAGAATCTGAAGTTTCTCTTTGCTGGGATGAGTTTGGGAATGGAATCGATTCATGGAATCGATTATTGATTATTCAGCGGTGCAAGCATGGTGATTGTTGCTGTGGGTGTCTCTTGACAGTTGAGGACAGCCAGACTTACACGTAGAACAATAGTATAGAAATTGCATAAACCACATCCTTGATGTGGTGGCTGCATGAAGCAAGGTGGGCCTGCTTTTCCTGCAAGTTTTGTAGTCCCTCTGTCCATGTTTTCATGTTAGCTCATGTCCCCTGATGCATAGAGCATAAATCTCCAGATGGAATAGCAGCTGCTACTTGGGCTTGTGACATGCCAGAGAGTCACCTTTGTGGTAGGTAGTCATTACTCTACAGCAAACATAACAGGTTGCCTGGGCAGCCCTGGTACCTCAGGCCGTGTGTGCATATCCTGCAGTACAGAATCTCAGAACATCCCAAGTTGGAAAGGATCCACAAAGATCTTTGAGTCCAACTCCTGGCTCCACATAGGACTACCTAAAAATTAAACCATATGTCTGAGAGCGTTGTCCAAGTGCTTCTTGAGCTGTGGAGTGTGCTGCGGAGTTGTGCAGTGCTGAGGGTGTCAGACTCTGCCAAAGAACCAGGCTTTGGGATTGGCATCCTGTCTCAACATGTTCTGCCTGTGTTTGCACTCCGTGTCCCCATGTGCCCTTTGAACTTTTCCAATAGCTGTGCATTTTAAAAAAACTGCAGAATAACATTGTGAAGCTCTGCTGCTCTCAGCACCAGCAATATCTGTCTATTCAGTGGCTGGGAAGGACTCAAGTCCTCCCACAAAGGCAGTTGTGGCGCTGCTTCTGTGGAGGCATCCAGTTTAGCTGCCCTCATCTCCTGCTTTAAGTGCTTTGTACAGCCCTTTGGACTTGATATGTGCAGGGGGTCCATGAAGTATATTTAAAACAGTAAATAGCTTGACATAGAGGGACGCTTTCCCTCAAAGTTCTAGTCAGTGGAAATATATCATTTTCATCTAAAATTAGACTGGCTCCAGCTACATTAAGGAAAAAAAGAATAGAAAAGAAAGAAAGAAAGAAAAAAGTAAAATAAAAACAAAGAAAAACCCTCAAGAATTAAACTCTTTCTGTTGGACTCTGTCAGATGTAGCAACTCCTAGCAGAAATAACCCAGGATCCATCCAGCACAAACTGCGTCCAAAAGCCTGTGATTTTCATCCAAAAAACTTCGAGTTGTTGGAGGCAGCCAAATGAACTGGCTGGGCAAACAAGATTTTCTCTTGCATGTGAGACAATGTAAATAAGCTTAGAGAATAGTGATAGATCTTTCAAAGGCACTAAATGGGAATTGTTGAATTGAAAAAGAATTTTGCAGTTAATATTGTACAACTCTTGACAAGTAAAATGAGATTGGAGGGGCAGAGGGAAAGTTGAATTCAGAAAAATATTCTACTCATTACTCCCATACAATTTGTTATTACAAATTAATTTTTTTAGAAGATGCTTGAGCTGAAGCTTAAAGCTTTTGCGTTAAATGTAATCCCAACCCTGCAGTAATTTGCCTACTGCACTTAAGTCCAAGTGCAAATGAAAGTGACTGGATACTTAATGCTTGCTGAGGCTCAAGTCTAAAACAAGCGTGGAGGCTAGTAAGGAGGAGAGACTTGGACCCAAAATTAACAGCAGAAGAAACAAACAGAAAGACATTGAAAACTGAATACACATTTTGAATCATTTATCTTTCAACATATTTTACTGAAGCAACAATGAAAGGAGCGTGTGAAGTTTAACTATGCATTGTGTTGTTATTCCAGGCTTCAGCAGCTTCTTGATGTTTGGAGAGTTCTGAGACCAGCCTTTTGGACTACTTGTAACCAGCACCTAAGGCTACAGAAACTTAGGTCTGGAAGAACCTCTTTCTGAAGGAAACATCCATCTCAATATTGCGAAAACTCTGTCCAGGCCTTACAAGGCAGGAGAGTGATTTGTGCTTCTGCTGACACTGGTGTGTAATCTCTGCTTCTTATGCACTCCAGCACCCCTATCAGTTCCTTGTTCTCCTTCACCAGCCCTGCAGTGAAAAGGCTGCTGGGCTGGAAACAAGGAGATGAAGAGGAAAAGTGGGCAGAAAAAGCTGTTGATTCCTTGGTGAAGAAACTAAAGAAGAAAAAAGGTGCCATGGAAGAACTGGAAAGGGCTCTAAGCTGCCCAGGTCAGCCCAGTAAATGTGTCACAATCCCACGTTCCTTGGATGGGCGGCTGCAGGTGTCTCACCGCAAGGGGCTCCCCCATGTCATATACTGCAGAGTGTGGCGCTGGCCTGATTTACAGTCTCACCATGAATTGAAGCCACTGGAATGTTGTGAGTTCCCATTTGGCTCAAAACAGAAAGAAGTGTGCATTAACCCCTACCATTACCGGCGGGTGGAAACTCCAGGTAATTATATCATCTCTGAATGATTCACATCTCTGTTAGCTCTTGTGCTGGCAGGTCTGTACCTAATGCATTCTAATGAGTTCTTTGAGACCTGAAAAAGTAGGCTCTGTTTGATGGTGAAGGACCTTGGCTTTTTCCCTGTCTAGCATCACAGATACCAGCTGTGAAGAGAAGGATCCTGGCTGGGGCCCTTGCTCCATTGCACCCCCAAGAATCTTGTCCAGGGTGCTGAAAGCAAGGCTCCTCTCTGTGGACATGGCTGTTGGCCACCTCCTAATCCTACCCCCGTAGGCTGCTGTCAAGGGTATGTCTGTGAGCTTGAAGGCTAGGCACTGGCTTAGTCTTATCACCTTGGCTGGATTTATGCCACAGTCTGAAAGCCAAAAATAACTCATTGATTCACAGGAAAAATGTATCTCTAGCTTTCTCTGTAAAGATCAGAGTTGCAATAAGATGGTTTCTGTTGCTATGGATGTGAAACCAGGTTAGCTGATTCTTGTTAAAATGCTTGATGGTCTGCATTCAGTGGGATTTAATTATCTCAGTGGGTGGTTTATATGAAATAAATTCCCCAACTTCTCATAAAACTTTGAATTTTTCAGTTGATGATTCTCTGTAGACTAGACTTGCTCAGCATTGAAAACTTATGACCTTACTGAAGGGTCATTTAGTTGGGCTTTTTGTCAATGAAACAGCTATTGGAGAGTTGTAGTATTCAGTGTCGACTTCTATAGGACTGGCAGTGATCTCAAGTGGTCATCTTGTTCCTCTCTCCTCCTACTCTCAAAACAGAACAAATTGCCAGGTACATTCCTGACAGATGTTTTCCTAATTAGCACTAAAAATCCCATGTGATAGAGGCTCCACAACCTCCCCAGGCAAGTGAATCTATTGCTTTGCTATCTTTACAGTTCAAAGTGATTTCTAATGTCTAACCTTTCTCTCTTTGCTGCCAAAAATCATGGTAATTTAATTTACTAATGGATATGGTTGGTAAGTGTATACTTATTATTCTGTGATTACTCTTTGTCTGGCATGAACTTTACTATGAGGTGACATTAGCATCAGATAAGTGAACTGTGGGATGTTTCTTTTCACACAGATGAAATAAGGGAAAGACATTTGTTAACATTTGTTAAATGGGGCTGTTCCTCTTCCTGATAGTCCTTCCACAGCAGCAGAGCTGTCATTTTGAAGTTGCATCTGAACTGCTGTAAACATTGTCAGAGCTAAAAATTTTGCAGCTGCAGGGAGTGGTGCATGTTGTCAACAGTATTTAATGGAAAGAGCTGATCTTCTGACTTTCTAAAATAAACTCCAAGAATCTAAGAAAAGATGCTCATAAAATATCCCATTTTGTGTATCTTTCTGTTAAGGCTGTAGTCTCTGGTGCTTTCTCATTTCTTTTGTTGTACCTGTAGTGTAGCTAATGGAGTCTCCTCAGTGCTGACAGCTCTGCACAGGGCTGTTTTAAACTCTGGTCTCTTGATCTCTTCTACAAATGCTAGTACTGCATTAACCAGCAGCTGCTAAATGGCTTCCAGAACTTCCTCCAATCATGAAGCTCTGACTTCAGCTGTGAATATGGCCCTATCATATAGCCTGACTGGCTAAATGCAGGCTAGCTATGTCTGTACTAGTAAATGAAACATGGCTAGGCTACAGCCTGAGAATTGCTGAAATACTTGTTTGCTCTGTAGCACAGCGGTGTTTTGTGCAGACTGTCACATATTAGCAATTCCCAGGGTGCGGGGCTCAATCCACATAAGGCACTTTTGGGCAACTTGGACATGACCACCTTGTTTTGGAGGGCAAAGAGCACAGCTGCAAAGATGCATGCTGTGCTGTTCCAGTTTGCTACAGGATCGGGGAGCTGTTCTTGTATTCCACTCCTATCACGCTTTTCTCAGGGACAGATGAGATTCTGAGCCTCCCAAGAGAGTTACTTCTCCGCTAGAGATGAGGAGCAGCAAGGAGCACAACCTACTCAAATGTGCTGGGGCAGCAGTGGGAGAAATAACTCGCAACTCTGGAAGTGGCAATAGTGCAGCTATGAGCTGCAGTCAGAAAGCAGTGCTGTGAAGAGATAGGGATGAAGGAAGAGAAGGTATGAGCTTGATGGGGAAATAGTAGCAGTGAGGTCACCACAAAGTAGTTTGGGAGCAATTGATCCAGCTGCCAGTCTGTTCAAATAAAAGTCTTCTTTTGGCTACAGGAAATCTTCTATATCTAGGCTGTCAGAAGTCTTAGGGTTATGTAGGATTCTCTGAACCTCATCCTTATGAGTTACAGAATCCACCTGTTAAGTGATTCAGCAGTGCATTTCTTTACTCTCCAGAAGCCAGTGTGCTTTTCATACATGTGTCCATCCTTTTGGGGCTAACTTTCATTATTCTAATCTGTCTCACTGAATCAACCACTCTGTGGCCATATCCATTAACTTTTATTCAGCATGAGTGAGTTATGTCAAAGATGGAAGGGACTTGCCCTTTCTCTAGTGACTTGGCAGATTCCTAGGCCTCTGTTATCAGAGTGCAGCCTGTGTCTTCATGCTTGCCAGGCACATCATAGTCTGTGCTAACCAGCACAGCCTGGATTGTGTGTAGCATTCCTTGTTACTGCAAGTGTCCCCAGTGGAGCTCCTCTTTGCAGGTCTGCTGAGCAACTAGTGCCATTTAGAAAAATAAAACAAAACAAAAAACAAACAAACAAACAAAAAAAAAAACAGTAAAACAACAAACCACAATTATTTCCTCTATTTGTGCAACTTCACAGCACAGCTAGGAGTCAGGTCATCTAGCATAAAGGAGATAGATAAAATGGATAGGCTCTGCTTCCCCATTGAAGAGCTTGTCAGAAGTCTAAATGTTTGATTTTCAGGGGAATCCGCAGTTCTAGAAAAAACTGCCTAAACATTTATCTCATTACTTTATTTGACTTCATTCACATATGGATGTTATAATATGCAGTGTTGCTGCAGGGAGCAGAAGCCTAAGTGAGCATTAAATTTTGACTAATTGCTTTACAAGCCTGAGTAGGACTGTGATCTGGTATCTTCCCAATTGGAAGACCACCTGATTATCTTACTGTTGGCCACGTGTTTGACGTCTGTGAATGGGCATGGAGAACAGGTGGATCTTACCAGAGAGTAGGCTTCCAAAGACAGGAGACTCTGCGAAGATGAGCTGATGTGTCACAAACAGCAGTGTAGATGCTGCACCTGGAATTAAAGGACGAAGCAGGTAGTTTACTTGCTAGCATCTGAAGTCACAGGCTCGGTGACCATGGGGACAACGAAGTTCCTAGCAAGAATTACAGCTAAAGAGAACAGAAGAGAACAGAGCAGGAAAGGCAGCAGCAGGATTTGGTACATCATTGACTGTATTTGGCTTCAATTGAACAAAGATCAGCATTTAGGGTTACACAGAAAGGATCCCTCCTGGCCCTTAATGAGAATGGAAGTTAAAAGGAAAAGATCCCACAGAGCGGTGACAATGCAGGTCAATTGTGAAGACCTGGTGTACTCAGTCAGTCAGTTTCATGCCTCTGGTCACAGTTCCTTCAAGATTGTTGAGCCTTGGAGAACAGCATCTGCTACCAAAAGAAAAAGAACCAAGCCCTTAGGGGATTTTTTCAGCCACAAAGAAAGAAATCTCTGTATTCATCACCACCACAGAGGCTTTAGCTCTCTAGGCAGCCAGTGGAAAGATTGACCGAGGTGGCAAAAACTGTGCAGCAGAGTAGAAATTAAAAGAATAGCCTGGTCAGAACTGGGAATGAGTTCAAGGCCTTGCAAGGCTAGAAAATTCCTCTTGCTGACTCACTCAGGGCAAGTCAGAGGCTTTCTCTGGCAAGTGCTGTTGACACATCTCGGTTCTCAGCTTTCATTTAGAAAAGGAGTCGTGCTGAGTTCTCACAGGGCTGGACTAAATTGCTTTCCCAGTAGTGGGGCCTGCAGTGAGGTACCTGTCCCCCGGCCCTGCACAGCATTACTCAGCACCACTGCTGGGTGCAAAGGGATCTCCAGAGTTATCCACAGCTACTGGTCAGAGCTGGCCAGGCAGCAGTGAACCTGGCAAGCATCACCCCAGTTCCATGGAGCAGCAAGGGGAAACTCCAGAAACAGCAGCTCACAGCCTGGAGCTGCTTTCAGGATCATGTGTTGGGAGGGATTTAGCTGACCAAAACCGCATCTGCAGTGGTGGTGGTGCCTTGTTCCTGTATAGAGCAAAAAAACCGAATGCTGAAGGAGTCTTTTTCTCTCCAATGTCTATGAAGGGGTAACAGGCTGAGATGTCAGTGCCTGTATTTTCTGACTAAGTCCTCCAAAACACTAGGGAGAAGTAAAGAAGCAGAAATAGCTTTCTCACCAAAGGGCATTACAGGGTGGCAAAAAAGCATCATCATGCAGATAGTGGCAGTTCATTGGTGACTGGCAGATTCCCAAATGGTGTGTGCCAGTGGTGGGGCAGGAGCATGGCTTAGCCCTGCAGCAGCATGGTGCCACAAGGAGCTGGACACGTGTTGGTGGTACTAGCATGGGCCTTTCTGTTTCCTCTGCCCCAGCTCAGCCAGTAGTGTGGTACACTGATCTCTAAGGAACACGTTCCTTCTCATGCACACGTTTTGCATTATTTCTGTATTATTTGCTTTGTAGCAATTATTCCACTCTTTCATTACACTGTATAAATGAGAGCTCACTGTAATTAAAAGGTGCTAGCTAACCTACCTAAAAAGAATTAGCCTTACCTTGACAGAGCTTTTGGGCCTAAACAATCTGTTAAAACACGTTCAAACAATATATTTGTGTCAGCATTTATAGCTAAAAGTGCACGTCGCTATTTGTTTCTGTAAGCTAGTAAGGAGAGACTGAAGGATTACTTGCTGCTAGGTTTTAGGCCAAGGAACTCTAGACACCAGGTCAATCAATACAAGCCCACTGTATTGTTCCAGTTGTTCGGAAAATTCATCCTTGTCACAATAAAGCAGATTGCCTCCTTATCTTCCTTTGTGGTTTAGCAATCCCCCAAATGAATCTTGGGGACTCATTTCCCATGCCTGTGTTTAAGGGCTTAGCAAAGACAATTAGGTGCTAAGTGAGCTAGTGACTAAGGGAACTCTTGGGGTATGTGAATTGAACCTTGTAGGTGCTATTCCCCTTCATCAACTACAGGGGGACCCAGTCAAAGCCTAAAATTGAACTCCCATATGCAGAAATATTTAGCAAACCTCTTTGTGTTCCAGTCTCAGGGCAACAGCTTTATAGGTAACTCAGATAGTCCTGTTTGCTGAAGTTCCTTGACTCCACTTGTGCTCTTGTTCTTGGTAAGTCAGAATTCAAAATTCAAAACCACTTGGGTTAACTTTGGGTTTCTCAGAGCAGTCATACTGCTACAACACTGACAGTAAAAGAGGTAAGTGAAGAAGCTGGATGAGGAGAGATTATTTCTTCTATTAGACCAGTTTTTGCATGGATGAATTTGAATTTCAGTTTTCTTGCATTTTTCTTGTGTTAACTATCAACCATTTACATTTGTCTCTTCATGCTAGATCTTTTCTAACAACTATATTGCAAGAATTAGATTAATATTGCTGCGATATTTCAATTGCCATTTATATTTCCTTTTAAAGATCCCACTGTCTGGCTGGCAGCATTTTCAAGTATCTGAAAACCTTTTAAATATAGTGTTTAGCTTCTGGTCTGTGCTTCTGTTTGCCAATCTGGTGGTAAAATAATGCATTGCATTGCTGAGCACTATTAATTGTTATTAAACTTGGCTTTGATTTTGGAAAAATCTGATGATAATATTTAGCAAACCCCTGATATAGTCATTATTTCAGGAAGGAAGAGAGAGATAATTTTGAGAAGGAGAAATATGCCATTTGCATTTCTGTAAGGAGACTATGCACATGCTGTACATGTGAATTTTATGGTACCTTGCTTACATTAGGAATGACACCTTATTTTGCACATGCAAATGTGGAAACTGTTTGCAAATCATGGAAAATGGTTGAATATCAGGTTTTGATTCTTGTTTTTGGACAGATTTGTTGCTATTAAATGGCTTGTATATACAGAATGATACAGGTAGCAAGGAATATATCTCTTTTTTATTGACAAAGAGATACACTTTCAAGAGTGTAATTCTGAACAGATTTTTTCTGTTCTTGTTTTTATTTTCAGTCCTACCTCCTGTACTTGTTCCAAGACACAGCGAGTTTAACCCTCACCTCAGCCTTCTTGCCAAGTTTCGAAATACTTCTCTGCACAGTGAGCCACTGATGCCTCACAATGCCACCTATCCTGATTCTTTCCAGCATCCTCCATGTACCCCTTTTCCACCATCACCCAGCCACATGTTCTCCCAGTCACCTAACAGCATCAGCTACCCCAACTCACCAGGAAGCTCTTCTGGACCAGGAAGTCCGTATCAGCTCACGGGTAAGAATGAGCTTTCAGAAATTCTGAATGAGGCAGTCAAAGTTCTTGCTAGGGCCTGGGATCACGAGCCAAATTTCTGTGCTCCCCCCCAGGCTGTAGCTATAAATTGGAATGTTGGACAGGATGGATTTGGAATGGCATTTCTTGGGACTGTTTCTTAGTATTGTCTCTCAGTCCTTCTGATGGCAAATCGAGGAGCTAAGATCTGTAACCATTCCACTCCTAGAATGCGTGAATTCATGATTACTACAATGGATAAGTTCAGGAAAGAATTAGGTTTGCCAAGACACCTTCTGCCCAGGGCTGCCCACCTAAGTTAGGCAGCTTTAACAGAGGTGGTGAGGATGGGACCTTTATAAACTCCATGGGAGAGACAGAATAAAATGGGGAAATTGGTACACAGAAATATTTTTTAATACAAGATGATCCCATTGACTATAAACTTCAGGATGTTAAGATGTTTAATAATTTGGTCCAAAACTTGGTTAAGCCAATAGGCAAATTCCCATGAATTTGGAACGTTTCATCTGTTCCACAGTTCTAAACTCAGCAGGGTTAAGTCATTCAGATCATTTGTTTTGAACTCCTTACCTGGTACTGCTCTAATTACTGAAAATTTGAATGTACCAAAAAGGTATCATACAACACAGCTGAGAGCTAGCTTTAATATCAAAGCATGGTTCAGTTTCACTTCTGCACTTTGTTGTCGTTCTGAAATAGTTTCAGTGAACTCAGCTTGTTCAGAAGGATGAATTCAGGTCAGAATCTTGTAGATTAATGTTTTAATATATCAATTACAAAGTATTTGAATTCATACATTTAATGATATGGTATTGTGATTTTAAGTACAAGAAAGATGTTTAGTTTTACAAGGTATTTGTAGTATTTGAACTTCCTTTAAAGCCGGATACTTTCAACACATTTTCCCTTCCTTGTACATTCAATTAATTGTTCATTTCTTCTCTAGATCTGTAGTTCAGATCATACTTAGCAACATCCAAATTCACAAGCAGTAGGACTTGTTTGTCTTCTCCCATTTCTTTATTTCACCTCTCTGTAACCAAGCTTGATTTAGTGGAGCTGGTCCTGACAGGTAAATCAGGACCATTGCAAAGTATATAATGACTCTGACTCGTGTAACTTAACTGAACTTGGGACCTTGCAAAGCTACTTAAAATGTAAGTGGCTGAGCTGGAACTTCATTATATCACAGCAGAGGGAATGCTGATAAACATAATTTGCCTGTGTAACAATCAGGGTTGAACAACTATCTAAAGCAAACTAGGATTGTATCAAGAACCTTGAGTGGGATTGATAAGACCAAACAGATGTCAGCAATGCAAATTTCTACATCTGATGCAATTGTTTATTTGTTCTCTGCTCTGTAGTCAGTAGAGAAAAATAAGCACTCCTAGAACAAGATTCATTTCATCTTAAAGTATTTGTCTAAAACTGCTAAGATGCATTGTGTATAAAGCGAGCATATGGAATGCTTATAATAGACAGCAGAAATACTTGTACAACCTCATTATTTCCTTCCTGTAACTTAATATTATCATCTTCCATTGTTTCTTTATTTTTTATTACTTTAACATGCTGCATTTCTGTGGGAGGGTTATGCCCTATATATGTTAGGGATATTGTGTAGTGTATGAGATTCCTATATCATGGATACTACTTAAATAGTAAATTAATAGTAAATTAAGTTAAATTAATAACATTCCTGTGCAATGTGTACTTGGAAGGTTCAGTGGTTATGTTATGAGACAGGCCACCTTTATCCACTCTGGGTGAATCTGTGTTGTCTCGAGGGTCAGCCAACAGCCCATACACAAGAGGAAACTTCAGCCTGAAACTGGGATAAACTCTTTAAAGAGACCCATAGCTTTACAGGTTCAGTTATCACTGTAACTTACACATGAGTTTCTGGTCACTACATACTTTCAGTGTTTAACACTGAATGTTTAACACTGACATTTTCTAATGTAAAACCAAAGTCACTTTTTCTTTGGCTTTGTAAAGCCTCCTGTTCTTGAGAATCTTCGCTGCAGAGAACCACCTTCCATTTTCTATCTTACTATGCCATGAAGGAAACAAACCAGGAGCTAGGCACACTGTGGGTTGGTACTTCTTCATTCATTGCTGTATGATAGGATGTCATATAGCTAGGACAGAAGTTAAAAGGACAAATCTGAAGGAAGTTTTGCCAAGTCTCACTTTAAAATAAAAGACTTTCCATACACTTTCTTTGTAGTCTGTGAAGAAAGAGAACTTTCTCCTTGAGAGGAAATTAAAGTTATTTGCTGCTGTTAAATCATCTTCTGCAAGGATTTTAACATTTAGGAGAGAAGCCTGGAATTGAAGGATCAAACAGCTTTGCTTTCTTAGTATAACAGCTCTTATTATCAGAAAACTTGGCATGATGGTGGTCTGAGCCTGAGGCCATCCTCTGTCTGTCCCTCCTTCATCAAGTGTACAGAATCCAACGTGACTGCCCTTCCTTACCGTTCTTCCTGAACATGTGATGGTCTTACTCTGGAGGCTGGGAAGAGATGAGATTCAGATTTGTGCTTTGTTTCAAACCCTTCTGTAGCTAAACAAATCTGAAGAAGTGGTATGTATTCAGTAGGAAAGGCTGGGCAGAATTTACCAAGGTATTGATTTAGATGTCCTATCTTCTTTTTTTTTTCTTTCCTTCTCTCCAATAGTGGAAACTCCACCCCCACCCTACCACGCAAGAGAAACTCCAGGAAGCCACAATGGGCGGTCAATGGATGCAATAGCTGAAAGCCAACTAGTACTGTCTTTGCCCAATGGAGGTAAATCTGCCGATGGAGAAACCGAAAGTAAATAACTTTATACTGTTTTTCCAAGAAAAATTGCTAAGTAGTAAAGCATTATTCAAACAACAATGTTCAGTGATCTGTTATAGTAGGTTTCAGACGGCTTTGAGGGTTAGGCTGTGTATTAAATCCATCCATTAGCTAGGAGAATAGGAAGATCTAAGAATTCAGTGACTTACATGTGAAGTGAGAGAGATTAGATTCTTCTTGAAACCATGAACTACTGCAGTTAGAAAGTTGTTACTGAAAGCAAACACTGTTATCTACTTTGAAAAGATAAAGATATAAAATCAAGGATGGGGAGTAATACAACACAAAAGAACACTATCTAAATCAAAACTGATTTCTTTATCACCATCAGTTCTAAGTTTCATGTACTTTAAAGTCTTATGTTTGGAAACTTTCTTATTACCTTCATTGTATTAATGTTACATTACCGGCTGGCTAGAATATAAAAAGACATTCTAGTGAAGTACAACTTTCTGAAACACTGAGGAACATGTCTGTATCAGAACTAGAGGAGAAGGAAGTTGAGGTAGTGTTAACAACAGATGAGTGCACAGAATGGCTAGGTAATTACTAGCCATCAGACACCGATATTTTTAAATAAATTGTTGAGGCTTTAATCTCCTTAGCATAATTTACATTCCCTGATCACAGCCGTTGTGAATCTTGGTTAGAAGTTTACTAGAGGTTATGGGCAAAGGTACTCTGGGGCAGGAGGTCTCATATACCTGTGGTAGGCAAGCAGAATAAAGTTTCCCAACAATTCCTGTAGAACAAGTGAGTGTTCAGAGATTCTTTCATGTTTTTAAGTCCTTTGCTGTCTCTGTGTTAGAAAACCTGGGTAGAGGTAGATCCGAAAGAAATGAGATGAGATTTCTACTTACAGACCCACATGGAAGTGGAAAGCCTCAAAGCGTGCAAAGAAAGAAAGGTGGAGGGGAGGAATAGATTGATTACTTCTGAACTCCAGCATTTGATACTAGACTTAAGACTTGTCTCAGTTTTGATTTACTTTGAGCCCACCTGTCATCCCTAGCTCCTGCTGGTGTGCAGAGCGGATGTATCCCCTACTACTTTCAGTGTAGAGATTGGGCCTCAGTTCAGCAAGGAATGTTAGCATGTGCTTAATTTAATGCGTTAGGGTTACCGCTTTTTTGAGAACAAGTGGGGCTTCTCAAAGACTCATAGTTAAACTGGTGTACCAGCTTTTGCACATTTTGGTCATAACATTAAGAAGCGGAAGCTGCTTTTGAGATTGTCTGACATTAACGACTGTTTAGATGAAGAGCTGGGAGCGTGGGAGGGACAGAAGGGAGGAAAAGAGACAGAGAATGATTATCTGAAAGAATACTACTAAGACCCCAGCAGCTAATTAATTTTGTTTCCTACAGATTTTCGGCCTGTTTGCTATGAGGAACCACAACACTGGTGCTCTGTTGCCTACTATGAACTCAACAACAGGGTAGGAGAGACTTTCCAGGCTTCCTCTCGAAGTATCCTTATAGATGGATTTACAGATCCCTCAAATAACAAAAACAGGTTCTGCCTGGGACTGCTCTCAAATGTAAACCGCAATTCTACCATTGAAAACACCAGGAGACACATAGGAAAAGGTAAGAGCAAATTCCTTCTCCTTGGGAATATTCAGAGCTCAGGAGAACCATACAATGGTTAACAATTCTGGCCGTTAACAATTCAAGCCGTTAACAATTCTGGCTGATTTGTCTGATATACTTTTCTTAAAACCAAAGCTGAGATTATTTCTGAAGCAGAGGGAGTTGATTCTTTTCTGACTGAATAGCAATCAGCAGAGTATCTACTTACAAAAGCTATTTACTTGGCCAGCAAAGAGAAAAATGTTGTTTATAGTTGTAAGTTCTAATTTAGCAGTATGTATTTTCATTTTATTTATTAGAGCTTCTAGCAACTGGGAATATTGCCATTGAAATGCCACTAAAAGGATAATTGCTGGTGCCTCAGGGCTGGTTCTTCTACCACCAAATAACAAAGGGAGATGGATGAAACACTTAGCAGTTGAGTTATTTAGTTGAAAAACTGTACAAGAGTTGCCTTTATAGATTTTTTTCCCCTAGCAACGTAAGGAAATCAGTCCAATCTGATTCCCTGCCATGTCAACTTCTCACTGGTAACTCGAAGTCTTGGGTTCTGCCTCCAGCAGTTCTCCTTGTATGCTCCACTTCTGGTGTGTGCATGTCCTGTGCACACAAGATCATCTGCTATTGGTAACAAGTAGGATGAGGCCATACCTGGATACACATGGCCACACTCGCTCCATCCCAGCTTGCGAGAGTAGGATAGGGCTTGATATTCTCCCAGAATTTATTAGTGTTTGTGGCAGTGAGACAGAAGCCCTGCACTGGTCACTTCTCTGTGCAGTTGAAGCTTTGCCTCCTCTATTATATCCAGTCTAGACTCATTATCTTGCCAGACCAGCCTCTTACCTGTAGCATCCTGGGAATGGATTCCCTACTGGGCTAATTAACTCTTAATTGTTTCACTCCTATTATCTTGTCAACCTCACCTCATTTCCTGGGCCTAGAGCAATACTTTAATTGACTCTTGATAGCTTAGTGTTAAATGACTGAGTACGAGGAAGGTCTGAGACAAATGTGACATAGTTTTTACAAACAACAGTGAATCTGAAGGCTGAGAGATGTACTCAGCTCTCACACTTTTCCCCAGAAGGAAAAAAGTACCTGTGTTACAGAAGTGTGAAGGGGGTGTAATGCTACACCAGTAAATTGATGTGAGCAGTGGAAATGAGTTGTACATCTAGATGGCAAAGCTTCTCAATCAGCATAATCAGCATAAGCTGCCAAAGGGGTATAGATCAAAGCTGAGCCCGGCCCTAAAAGAAGAACAACAAAAAATCCCAGTCGAAGCTGTTATTTGAGGATCTTACATCCTGCGAATTTCTGCCCCAAAATACAAAGAGACAGAACAGGAAGAATATGAGGTAAATGCTTATGCTAGTCTTCGTCCTTTCAAATCTAAAGATGCGTCTTCATTGATTAAAAGTTCTTTTAAGTCTTACACTAGGAATCTGCCCAAGGGAAGGGAGCAGGTTGCCTAGAGAGGAGCTTAGTATACCTGAGATCCTCAATGTTAATACTTTTCTCTGTTTATGCAAATCTTAAGAAAACATGTTTAAGTGGAATAGAAGTGGCACCAGTATGGGCCTGCAGAAGAGCACAGAGCAACTCTAAGAGTGTGTAGTTCAAAGGCACACTGGACAGATGAAAGCTGCTGAAATTGATACAATTGTCACATGTTAACAAGGAAGAAAAAGGAGTGAGTAAACAAGATTAGCTCAGTAGGATAAGGATATGCGATTGAATTGTCATCTAGTGTATCAGCGTGAATCGGTTTCCTGGAAATACCACATCAAAGCTAAAAACAATCCAGAACACAATGCAACATCTACTAGCAATTGGATCTGTTTCAGCAGTAAGACTTCAAGGACAAAAAGGAGACTACTGATCAGAGAGTCAAAAAGAATTGGATGCTTGGAACCTGCTGAGTCTCCAGTTTCTGCAGAGGGCAATGAGATCCTGCTAAAACATATAGGCCTTGGATTTGGTCTTTTACAAATATGCATTCAGCTGGTTGGCTTCTTCAAGGTGCTTGTCTCCAGTGAGTGAATAGCAGAAGAATGGAAATATTCACTAACATTTCGTTACTGCTGTATTTATTGCTTTTTTAAGAATCCACAAGGAAAAAGAAAATCAGAGCCACTTTCAGAATGACTTTGGTGTTTTTGTTATTGTAGTATGCAGTTTTGGTAATGCCTTTGAAAGCGTTGGGTTTGGTTTTTTTTGTTTTGTTTTGTTTTTGTTTTTTGAAAGTTAGTTATTCAGTGTGAAAATGTAGCCCTTAAAGCTTCGCACTTTAGCACCCAGAAGTGCAGTCACTCTAAATCAGTCATCACACCTGAAGATTCAGAAGGAGGTGAACACGTGTCCTTATTCTTCCCTTCCTTCCCTGTCTTCCTTCTCAGTCTATTTCAGGAATTTACCTGGTCTCCATCAGTGTTAGCCAAAACCTTTGTGATTTTACTATCAGTGTCCTTCCTTTTCATTCCCCTTCCACGGGGTGGAAAGGAAACATTGGTCAAATCATAGCAGATGCATCTCTGTGTGCATCTGAAGCTGCTGACTGGTCGGTCTAATGGAGCTGTGGTCTCACCTATGTTCTCAGTGAAGTACCAGCTTGTGCTGTGAGCCACACCCCCTCACATTTAATATGAGATCTCATGGGTACATAGAGGTAGAATTCAAGTGATGGCTTGAAGACAGACTGAGGTTCTTGTCTGAGTCACACTGGAAGTGTCTGGGAGAGCATATTTTTCCCAGATCCTTTTCCCACTCAACCTGCTTTTCCCCAAGTCTTTCCCACTCCTGTTCAGAGGCTGTTTTTCTTTTAAGGATGTGCTGCTGTCCCTTGCTCTCATGACCACAGAATCAGGAACAGAGACTGGGAATATGTAACCAGTCATTTTTGTACAAAAGACAACAGGAATAAAACGAATTACAACTGAATTAATAAAGCATAGTTATCACTGGCTTTGCAGACATTACACTTAGACTCTGTGAACATGTGCATTTGTATGTAAAGGTGTGAATGCCATCTCTGGGAATAGAAAGGAGAATTTTATTTTTATTTAGTGGTGGTTTTTATGAGAAGAAAGAACAGGGTTCTTCCATCTCTCTTGCCCATGGGAGAGGTTAATCTTCCCTAATCTAGCCATGGGAAGGTTGAACGTCTAGGTATCTTCACAGGGTGACTCGGTCCCTTTCAGGGTGTGGTTTCTTGCTCACATTTAAGCAGTCTAGTTCCCTATTGCCATGCTGGCACTGAAGAAGATCTCATTGCAAATAGATCTTTGTTGTTGTTTTGTTCTGTTTGTTTTTAAGTTTATTAGTTTTCACTGGGTTCAGTTCCCTGACCTGGGTGACTGCCTGGTCCCCAGACACTGCTGCAGCTTGAAGGCAGGTGTGGGAAGAAGTAGTAAGAGCAGGGGAAGAGTGAGCCTTTACTGCACCAGCTCAGACTTCCATCATTTTGAGTTGGCTGTGAGCCTGCAGCCTGCGGTGGACGGAGTGAATCGACTGGTCACACTGCCTCTCATCTACCAGATAAGAAAAAAATGCTTACACCAGTTCACATATATATTCACACAAGCAGACATCCTGGGTGGATAAGAGTCCTTGAATGGATAGAAGTGCTTCCATCTTCCTTTTTCCAAGATGTGGTAAAAGTTTGAAAGTTAACGTTTGTAAGTCACTTGGACACTGAGAAGTTCACCAGATCAATTGTTTTCCTGATAAAGTTTGCATTTAACAAGAAGGATTTGGTGAGTAAGTCAGGGTCGTGCAAATGTAAACACGTGGTTCTGTATGACTTGAAGTACACACCATGTGTGTTTGAACAGCATGTGGCAAGACCTTGTAGTAGAGCGTAGCATGCAATGAAATGGGTCTTGGTCAGCGTGCGTGTGCTCAATGGTGGTAGAGCACAATAGATTTGGATGTGTAATGTGTAACAGATTTGTCAGTTCTTTAACAGATTTGATCCACACTTTAACATGGCTGGCATATGTTTGACATTTGTGTGTGTGTGTGTATGTGCATGTGTGTGTCATAAAGTACCATGCTAGTGAATTAAAGAAGTAATCCAGTCCTAATAGGGAGATAAAGAATTTTATTCCTGTACTCATACCTTGAGATATTGTTTTTGATAATTTCCTTTTAATGCTGATGGGTCCCTTGTACAGATATAAGGATGTAGACAAAGTTTTCTGTCTTTTAAATGGCACTAAGTTCCTGGAGTGATGTGGGTTTATATGCCCACACCAATTAAATAGTTAAAGAATTCAGAGAACCAAACCAAGTTACTGAAATAAAACGTGTTGTAAACAGTGGAGAAATAATACCTGTCTTGTTTTCTTTTTCTAGGTGTTCATCTTTATTATGTTGGTGGAGAAGTGTATGCTGAATGTGTCAGTGACAGCAGTATTTTCGTGCAGAGCCGCAATTGTAACTATCAGCATGGTTTCCACCCAGCCACTGTCTGCAAGATCCCCAGTGGCTGCAGCCTCAAGATCTTCAACAACCAGCTCTTTGCCCAGTTGCTTGCCCAGTCAGTCAATCATGGTTTTGAAGTAGTGTATGAGCTGACGAAGATGTGTACGATTCGAATGAGCTTTGTTAAAGTAAGGATTCTTTGTTTTCTCTTGCCTTTATGAAAAGGAGAATCCCAGCACTTGCTAGCTTTAGTGCAAAACTAGACCATATCAAGTCCTTCCCAAGTAGAGATATGCACCCAAACTGCAAATTGCAATCCAGAATTCTTGTTCTCCAGTATTGCCTTAAACTTGTAGGTACTAAAAATCAGTAGATTCTGTGATCAACCTAAGAACTTCATGGACTCTAGAAATAAAGTATCTTACAGATTCATACAAAAACCAAGCAGAGACTGAAGCCCCACTGACTGCATAAGGAGTTCAGCTTAGCAGTGAGCTTAGCAGTGTGTAAACAAAGCACTTAGGCAGTTGTGACCTCTCTTACTGTTACTGTTTTGCAATAGAGTTTGATAGAGCCACACATCTGAAAAAAAAAAAAAAAAGGTCTTTATGTCTCCAGTCAAATTTACAGTCCTATTACTATAAACTCGTATATACATGGTCAGTCAAGAAATACTAGGTCTTCCCACTGAGCTTGTTGGGAATAGTCATTGTTTGCCACCTGTCTGATCCCTGCCTCGAGATTATCTTAATTCCTGATGGCATTCACACTGGCAGTCACACAAACAGAAGATCTTCTTGTGAGCAGAATACAATGCCCAAAAGAACAACTGATTTTCCCCTGATTAGAAGAGATAGTAGGCAACCAAAGCCTTTGCAGTTTCCATGTCTTTGAAATCTGAACTTTGCAATGTGATTGCTCTGTGTGCAATATATTGGTCTTTGTGGGAGTTTCTTGAATCTTCCAAATGGCCTTCTTACTAGAATATTTATCGACCCTTTTTAGTATTCAGGATTTACTTTGGTGTCTGTTGTAGCACTTAAACTTCAGAGAATAGTGAATGCTTCAAGACTACAGACATACTAGACTGTGACTTCCTACAGTGCTGCTGGGAAGAGCTGGCAGCAATGTTCAGCCTGCAAACTAGGAAAGGTGCACCATTAGAAGCAAGTTGGTCCTATTAGACACCAAAAGAAATGGCTTGAGTGTGTCCATTCATCATGCAGATTTGGTTCCAAACAAATGAGTGAATCAAGCCAATTGAATTCACATCTAAGAGATAACAAAATTACTTGAGGCTCTAGCCCAGTTCTGTTCTTCCACAGTTCAGTTCTTCCATATTCTGAACAGCAGATGAGTTGAGTCCCACACAGCTTTCTGGTTCTGATTCTTTCCAGCCGTCCCTAGGGACCCATCTGCATAACTGTGAGAGCATTAAGAATGCCCTGTAACTTTTCCCAAGAGTCCAAACCATGATCTCCATACCTGTGACCATGGTGTTGCTTTGTTCTTGGGAAGGGACTGGTATCTTGTTCACACGCAAGCATTACGGGAAAAAAGAGAGCAAGAAACCCAACAAGCAGCCTTTTCTTTAATGGAAGACATGAATGGGCATGTTGTTTATTAAGGCAGTATAGCCAGTTATGCAATATTTTCATTATCTCAGCAACTCAGGGGCAGTCTCTTTGATGTGTTATCTGCCTCCAAGCCCAGCATGGCAGCAAAAAGTGGTGGCATTGATGCACTAAATAATATTGCTGCTATGTTATCACCTTGCTTTGTTGAAACAACAGCAGCCACTATAGTGCCTCAGGCACCAGAAGACCAGTGTACAGAGTTATTTTGAACCTTTTCCCATGACCTTTGGAACATGACTATGCAAATGTCAACTAGACTCTTCCTGGCCCACAAAAACTCTTTCCTGTACTCATTCTTCTCAAATGATTTATATCCCAAGGTATGAGTCTTGGTGTATTTAGTTCTGGGTCATAAATACTCTTGGGCAGGGGTATGCAGTGGACAGAGGAGCACGTTGTCTGTCAGATCGCTGGTCTCAAACTCCTACACAACCAATGCTTGAGCTGGGAGGGAGGGCTGGGTATGCACCAGATCATGAGAAGCTTGCAAGGACCGTGCCACTCTCCGGAGGCAGGACATGAGAAAAAGGGAAGTGAAGCTCCTCTCCTCTGTGATACCCCTAGCATGCCCATATAGCAGCTGAGAGGAGCTCGACTCTCAGGCACATGTGCAGGGATCACCAGGGAGAGCAGGTAATAATTGCCATCCACACAATGCTGCTGATAAACCCAACAAAACAAGGTCAGCTGTTGTCCCTTCTCCACTGATGAGACACCTGATGCACAAAACAGAGGATCAGAGTTCTCCACTAAACTGAGAACTGAATCCAGTGTCCTCCCTCCCACATTGCTCCAAGTTCTGGAGCTGAGGGTATGACCCAGCAGGCTTGGTCCTACTCCTCCACATAAGGCTGGAGCTGGAGCTGGAGCTGGCCAGAGGGTAAAACCACAGAATCACAGAATAGAATGGAATCATTAAGGTTGGAAAAGAATACTAAGATCATCTATGCCAACCATCAACCCATCACCACCATAGCCACTAAACAACGTCCCTCAGTGCCACATCTACACAGTTCTTGAACATGTCCAGGGATGGTGACTCCACCACACCTATGGGCAGCCTGTTCCAATACCTCACCACTCATTCTGAGGAGAAAATTTTCCTAATATCTTACCTAAACTGCTCTGGCACAATCTTAAAGGAATTTGTCCTATCACTAGTTACCCAGGCTGGAGAGAGCTGTCACCTGCACAAGGTTGGGAAGGTGTAGCAGGAGCAGCAGGATTCCCCAGCTCATTTCCCTGTGAAAAGCTCATTTCTGGACTCCTTATGTGAGCCCTGGGCTTCTCTTACCATCCTCTGTGCAAGATAACACCACAGCTTTGCGAGTGGTTCTTATTTTATTCCATCCTTAGAAAAGCTCCACCTCTGAGTTCATTCTGGCCCTGGGGCTGTCCTACACTCCAGGAGGCTGTGTGATCTGTGGGATGACAGGGGAGTCCTTCCCCAGGGCATTTTACCCCTCTGACAGCCCCAGTCCCAGTCCAGGAAGGCAGCACAGGCAGTAGGAAGGAGGCTGGAAGTGTTTGGGAGCTGCCAGCAGAGGGAGATGCCCAGTCACTTACACAGACTGCCGAACTCTCAAAATCAGACAGGTTGTGTTTGCAACCTGTAATTACTGTTCCTATATAGGTTTTCCATCCTGCTAATCAGGGGAGGTGCAACATCGCCTCTGACTCTTATCCTTAGGTCATGTATCTTCAATGCAGCTGAGTAATTAAGACTCTTAATCAAGTCAGAAGCATGACAGCACTTGAAGAGTAGCATTTTATACGAACATTTCCAGAATGCTTATCTGAGGTGCCTACGAACACAAGCGCCTTCTAGCCTGATAAATGTTCTGAAGGCCAGAAAAATGCTTCCTGATTAAAAGCACTCTTTGGGCTTCGTTAGGTTCTCATCTTCATCTGTTCTCTGCCTCTTCTTCATTAAATACAAATGGATTTTATCTAGGCCACTTGCAGCATCTAATTGGTGTTGGTCCTAGTTTTCTGGTTGGTTTTCTAGAGGACTGGCTTCTAGCAGCTCCAGTACTTTGAAGAATTCAGCATTTATTAATGATGCAGCCAGTTGGCTGTAAGACTTTGGGCTCTCCTTTGCAATGCTGTGAAACCACAGAGAATGGTACTGTGCATATGCATCACAATTCAAAGCTTCTACATTTGGGCTGGAAAGAGGCAAGAGGTAACTCTCTGGGGTTGGATGCTGAATGTTATGATTTCTTTTCTGTATTTCTATGCACGTAAAAGCACCTGGTCAAGTCCAGTGGCACACTGTTAACCCCGTCACACTGTTCTAGGAATTCACATCGGTGGCTAAAATCAATGTATCAAACCTTGGCAGACTGGCTGCCTGCTTAACAAGCAGACACTGTGCCTACTTGAATCGAGGCACTCCTGCTTCTATTTTCTCCTTGCCTACACCACGTGCCCATCTTCTGACAGGAGCTCCATGTCCCTTATCTTCCAGAAAAATCTGGAGAAATTACTGCAGGATTTCCTGTGGCAGACAGGCAAGAATTCTGTTGGGAAAAGAGAAGGTGTTCAAGGATAGAAAGCCTATGGAAAATGTCTATGAATTAATTAAGTTAAAAGTAATGAGGATAAGGGAACCCTGCTGGAAGTTTCCAAAGACTTTGAGAAATACATACAACTTCTAGAGTCTCAGATGTGCAGGGTACGTCTCTGCCGATGAATGAAGAGGTGCCCAGGAACACTACCAGTCCTGCTGAAGTGTTATGACAGGGCCTGGCCTGCTTTTTGTCTGTGCAGACAACAGCCTGGCAGACTTTCCCGGGCACGTCTTCGGCATGCAAACAGCGGGGACCATTCCCTGTGGGCTGTTTGCAGGCAGCCAGGCTCAGAAACAGCCCATTCCTCGCCAGCTGGAAGTGTGGAGAAGCATTTTTAATTCAATAGTACAGAGTTCCTGTTAACTATGATAGTAATATACTTGAAAAGGAGCTAATTTTTTAGAGAAAATTATCCCTGGGACAAAGCATTAAATCTTGGTGGGCTGGGTGGTGGACTACCTGTAGCTATCCTAGACCAGTGGCATTGAATTTATGATTTACTGATGTACTTTTTTAAAGACTCACTTTTTGCTCCTCTGGTGTTTTTGTAGGGCTGGGGAGCAGAGTATCATCGCCAAGATGTTACAAGCACGCCCTGCTGGATTGAGATCCACCTGCATGGACCATTGCAATGGCTGGATAAGGTTCTGACACAGATGGGCTCACCTCATAACCCCATCTCTTCCGTCTCTTAAGAATCATCTCTAGAATTCCCTTAGGATGGATGCTATTGCAGGCAGTGGCTTATAGGATTTCCAGTGAACAGAAGCTTCTATATGTAGATGTATGCAGATGTAAATATATCTATACATAGTCTACTCTCCTATTTTTTTTTTCATGCTACGTTTTGTGGTTTCTAGTTATTCTGATGCCAGTACAATAAGTGTAGGAATTCAGGTATAGCATATCTGTTCTCAAAATAAGCCAAGATCCTGCAAAAGTGTCAAGCAGTTCCTGTGAGCACCTTCATTCCCCAACCAAGCCAGTAAACGGTGCGAATTCTCAGCACTTTCACATGGATTCAGAAACCTGGCTGTTGCTGTTCCTAGTAGGTGAAATTCACCCTTCTGCAGGCAACAAAAGTCAGATATTGGCACCATTTGTATTCATTTTACATCCTAACTTCAGATCTGAGAGAGGACTTTAAGTGGTGCACAGGACTTAAGCATAGAGAAGACTTTTCTCCAGTGAACTGAAGGATTAAACAGCAATTCCGGTCTGTCTCCGTACTGCAAAGCACTGTGGGACCACAGATCCTGTGAGGAGCTGAGACCCCTCGGTTTGGCAGGAGGAGAGAGCCCTTGGGATGCTTTTGGCTCTGGTGCCTTGTCAGAGCATTCTGGACACATCTGAGCAGCCCAATACACTTAACACAGTAGTTTATGGTACTGCTGCACTGAAAAGCAACAAGCTCCTAAGAAAAAAAAGAAAATTTGAAGTATATGCCTAGAAGTTTAAAATCCAATTAACTTCCAGTGCTTTTTTTGCAAAGTACGTACATACTTACATATGTGTCTGGCATGTAGACTGAATCCTATCCATTATACAGTATTGATGTTGTTTGTTTTGAAGTTAGGACTATCTGTAGTTAGACTACTGTGCTGATACCAAGGGTACGTCTAAAAGGGACTTGAACTGTGATTCAGGAAAAGGAAATGAAGTGTGCATTGAAGAACTGAGAAATGATATCATCATGGAGCTCAGGACAGTCTGCATTGGGAGCGGGAAGGCCCATGCTCACAAGATACAGGGAGGAGGAGGTGAGAGGCAGCCAGGCTGTGCCCTGCTCTGTGCCAGTCCTCGATCTGACTACAGTGCCCTGGTTTGGCAGAGGGGCTCCTGGCATTTTGTTAATGCCATGGATGGTTTCTCATCTTGGATAGAGGCTTCAGCATTCGTGGTGTTGTGGCCTTGCCTGCACAGGATGGTGAGGCAGCATAAGCCATAAGCAAGAGAACAGTGTGTCTATGTGTAAAGCTTTCTTAACAGTTCCTTGTCTGTGGACCTGTAAGCAGGAGGAATTATGGTCCATAATGTCATCCCCAGAGCCAGCCTTTCCAAGTGCTGTTCTTATCTGGTGAGCCATGGGAAACAGTGCTGCGTTTTGATGATCCCCTTTACCTTGCTGAAAGGGTAAAGGATTATTTCCCTGCGAGCATAACAGGCCCCTGAAAACTGCTTTGCATTGAAGGTCAACAAGAATGGTAACTTCTCAAATCTCACACACTAGAATTACACTGAGAAAAATATGTTCTACATAATATTTCTTTTCTTCTCACACAGTATCTGGTGCTACACAAGTTACTGCTTAATTACAAGAGAATGCGTGAAATCTTCAGGTACATTACATAGGCAAACCAAGTAATATTCACTGGAAATAATTTCTGTGTCTTTTAGATGCTATATAATGCCTGCTACGAGGTGGCAGTTCTGAACAGAGCAGAAGAATGCATAAAACAGAGGAGTTACTTCCTTTAAGCACACCATCAGCTGCCTCCAGCATTGGCAGGGCACAGGAGGACAGATGGTTGTTAAGTTCAAGCAGAACTGCAGGTTTATAGGAAGTTCATACATATGAAGAACTGTATTCTGTCACCATTTGCCATTAACATCATTAGTGTGGAGTAGGAAAAGCATGACCTGTGGCAGTGATTCCAGTACAAAGGTCCCACCCAAATTTCAGACGTGCCATTTACTGCTTAGCAGACTGAAGAAAGATGGGTTTGGAAACAGACCTTCTCAGCTCCCTTGCTCTCCAGTGTCACTATATTTAGCTGTTGGTACCATTGTTTTCAGGGTGTCCATTGTGCCCTTTCCCCACTTGTGCTTTTCATATTGCTAATCCCTTTATTTAGCAGCAAACGACAGAGAAATCAGCTCCTCTGTCCAGGATCTAGCACTGCTCTTCGTCCTAAATTCTTCTTTGCCTCTTAAGCTGAAACCTGCTCCCCTTCTCACACAAAGAGAAGCCCAGGTGCTGCCGCTGGACATCGCCAGCATTGTCTTTTCTCTCCCAGAGAGCAAAGGTGGCTGTGCTAAACGTGCACTGCTCTTGGGCAGTTCCAGAACCCAGTTTCCTGCTGATGCTGCAGAGGAAGAAGTGCAGACAGTGAAGAGAAGCGTTCTTTCTGAGGCATCATTCATCTCATCATGAGGTCTTTCAGGTGGATCAGATACACTGCACCCTGAGCATTCTTCTGCCTGCCAGCTGTGTGTAAGGGGAACACATGGTCAGAGACGGACTGCTGCACTGGGTGCATCCAAAAGGAGGTGAGGTGAGCCCATGGGGAGGTGGCCTTACAGCCTGGTAATGATGCCTCCTCAGTGAGTGTCTTTGCTTTTTAAATGAAAGTTGGTAAATTCAGAACAGCTTTTCCTTTCCTGTATTTCTGTTCTCGCAGCAGTCCTCACACAGGTAGCCCTTTGGACTCTATGCAGTCCATGTGTGCATCTTATTAAAGGCTGTCACCTTCATGTGCCCTTACTTCTAAAGGAAAGAAGCAGGCATTTCTGGAGTGCACCTCTCACCTACTTAAATGCCTACAGTAAGATGAGACAAATCATTTAACTATTTGCTGAAAGACCCTCAGAGTCTTCTCTAGTATGCGAATTAAAAATCCAGGTTTCTGATAATTTACAGCAAGGTACCTTTGTATTTCACTGTAATGCCTCCCCATTTTGGAAGGAGATCTTTTGTGCTCCAAGATCCTCATGAACCCTTCACCCTGTGTATTCAATTTATAGCCTTTAAAGGCATTCATTAATACCCAAGCTTTTCACATGGACTTCCTGAGGGATTTAAAACCACTTACAGGGAGACTGCTTAGCTGAAGGCAGATTTTTTTAAATGTCTTTTGAGTCATCAACGTCAAACCCCGTTGAAGGTTTCTGTGGAGAAGTACTATGCATCAGCAGGCAGCGATGGGAGTTTGGTCAGGCTGTGGCATAAAGAACATCCATCATGGTACTCAGACCTCTTGTTTTCTTATTAAGTAGTTGAGAAGAGACTGCCTAATTGCTGCCAGTTCATCTGCAGCACCAGTGTCAATGTGCCGTTCACATCCAGAGGGGACTGACGCAGGTCTTATGCTGCCTGAAGCCATTCCAATGGCACTGCTGCTCTCCTTGTGCCCAAGAGTTGCACTGCAACAGACAATCAATACGATGGCTGGAGCACTCAGAAGTGCAGCATAGGCTTTGCCTCCCTTCAGGTCCCTCCATACAGAGAACTCAGCCAGCAAGCACCATGTTAAGCCTTCCCACAGCCTGAGCAGCCTCCTTGGAGAGGTCTCTGCCTTGAGCAGGGTGTCAGAGTGGGTGTCCCAGAGATCCCTTCTGGTTTACATCGTTCTGTGGCTCTGTGCAGACGTTCAGTGGTAACTGGTTGTCACAGACAGGAGTTCTCTGTTAGTGGAGACAGTGTCAGGATGAGGCATGTTTATTTACCCTCAGCTATTTCTGCATGAGTTCAGTGCAGGACAGAGTTGTTAGATATTAACGTTTCATGAGTATAAAACCAGCACTGGATACAGCTCTCATTGTAAACATCATCCCATCCCATAGCTCTTAAAATGGAGCAAATCAGGCATTTGTGACTACAGCTTTGTCTAATCCTTCATCCTTGCTTCTGGCACGCATCCCTGGCTGATAAGTGCTGCAAGTCAAAGTCTCAGCAGTACTGCACAAACCACTGGATATGCAGAGGCTGCTCAGGCAGACATGTCAGCTCCTTGGTTGGATGCAAACTATCAAGGAACTTGATAGGCCTTAGTAGACTTTGAAGGGGTCTCAAGTACATGGCTCTTTATCGACTTCTCTGGTGCTGAAAGCCTGAGTGGGCATTTAGTCTTTGCTCAGTGGAGAGAAATTGCTCTATGTCTCTCTAGTATTGCACATAATATGCACCAGCATAAGATGCAGCCTTTAGTTTGTGACCATCACCTACTCACGGGAGCTCCAAGAGCGGCCAGGAGTGACCAGAATCCTGTTGCCTGTTTCACCCCAGCTTGCTCAGGTATGCTTCATGTTGCATCACCATGCCGGTGCCACACTTACCTGCTAGGGAAGTAAGGCATAAGTCCAACCAAGAGCACACCTCTACTTGCACCAGAGCTGGTGCTTGTACAGTTTGGTCTCACAGTTGGTGACCTTGCCCGTGGCAGATTGAAACTAGATGATCTTTGAGGTCCTTTTCAACCCAGGCCATTCTATGATTCTATGACAGGTAATGAGGCAGGTCATGTCTCTTCTGAAAGACAAACATAACCACTATGTCCTCCAGTCAACTACTCTTCCAGTATAGCCAATGTGAACATTTGCAGCTAATTGTGAACAGTTTTTAGATCTTCAGTCATAGTGTTTTTATTATCCATGAATGCTGCTATTTTATAGTCCGTGTTAATCTTCAAATAATATTGCATATGAATAGCATAGAAAGAAATAGACCAACCAGTTAGTCATTTTAAATACAGACCTCATCAGCGAAGAAAGGCTAGAAGAAAAATTGGTAGTCTGACCCATTGCACTTCCACTGTAGCAAGCACATCGTCTGTTTCAAAGTGATCATTTGATGCTGAGGTGTGTTACATCTTACTGATTCACAGTTATGTCCAAGAGATGCTTTGCAAACAAGAGAGCAAGAGAACAAACATAATGGCAAGCAGAGAGAAGGCGCCTCTAGATATTTTTTTTTACTTATTCAAGCAATTGGAATTCAATTTTTGATTATTTATAATACTTTATAAGTACAAGCTAAGCATATCACAGCATGTTTCTTCAGACAATTCAGTGTTAGCAGTTTAATCTGTCATTTCAGAATCACCTCTGTGATTTAAGTTGTGCTGAGAAGTTAGACAAGAAAGCGAAAAAACAGGCCTTGGTATGGATTGATGGAGCCATAATCCTGCAGGGATGTATGCAGCCAAGGGGTTGTAATGGTGGATTTGAGTGAAGTGTGGGGTTTTCTGTGTGAAGTATTAGCTATCACAGCCTGGTGCAGAAAAGAACTGTGAAATACGTAAAGATTTAATGGTACCACTTCTATTCTGCCCTCTCTCTTTTCCATCACAGTCAAGGCAAAACTTCACCACCTAGAAGAAAGTAGCATTCACAGTTAGTGAGATTCTGTAAGAACACAGGGGATCACTGTGTAAATAAAGCTACTTGGACTCTTGCCTCTTGTGAACAAAATATCTCAGAGACGTGCTTAGTTTCAGGAGCCCGAGGCACTGGGGCAGCTCAGTATCCTCTATCAGCCCCATGCCCTGACACACAAATACCACCACTGCTAATCAAGTGGATGTTCTCCAGCATTCCTCCTGTTGCGTTTGATTTGAGGCATCCTGAAGTCAACGTATTTAGCCTGATGTTTGAACAGCACACTTCTCAACACACTCCATTTTCTTTGGCTGGAACTATTCAATTGTAAAAGGGATTATTCACGTCTTGTGTTTTACTGTTAATAAAGTTATTTCTGATTTAAGAACTCTGTCTTGTTCCTTCCTATTTTCTTATTTGAAAGTGATTGGCTCTGGAAACTTGTAGTCCCCACCTGACAACCAGTGACTTTGGAAACTGAAGCTTTTAGGAAGCCTTTATTCATACAAGACTTATGGATCTTGAGGAAGAGGATCAATGGGATGCCCCAGCAAAATGGCATGCTAATACATAAATGGACTGAAAATGTTAATGGCGTAAAATCTGCCTGGTATAAAGTACATGCATCCCTCATTAGCTCTGCTGTGGTAGATTTGAAGATTCAGGAGGGTGGTCCAGCTTATTTTGAGAAGAGGCGACCTGATCAGACAGATTTGCAGTTGTGTGGGTTGAAGGAAAAATGTAGGCAAATGTTCTTTGCTATACAAGTCAGGTTTTAATTTTCCTAAAATTCATTATTTATGTCCTACAATAGCAGAAACATGAACAGAAAATGGTCTCGAAATTGTGTTGACACTGCTGGGTCACACACCTCCTGAAAATCCCATCTGACACTGCCCAAATGGGACAGCCCAGCTACCAGCACATTTGATGTCTACACCAGCTTGCAAGGCACTGGTATCACAGACCATTAGAAATACAGGATTGCTGAGATGCACATCTCTCTTCAGCAAGTTGCATTTATTTTGAGATAACTACCTTATTAAACACTGTCTGTTTTAACGCACACACAGAATGGCCAGGGTTGGAACGGACCTCAAAGATCATGAAGCTCCAACCTTCCTGCCACCTGCAGGGCCACCAACCTCCACGTTTAATGCTAGACCAGGTTGCCCTGGTTCCCATCCAACCTGGCCTTGAACACCTCCAGGGATGGGGCATCCACAACCTCCCTGGGCAGCCTGTTCCAGCACCTCACCACTCTCTCTGTAAAGAACTTCCCCCTGACATCCAACCTAAATCTTCCCTCCCTCAACTTAAAGCCATTTCCCTTTGTTCTGCCATTACCCACGCTTTCAAAGAGTTGAATATCATCCTGTGCCCCTTTTCTACCCTCTCCCACCATTTAAGCAAGCACACCAGCTTCAAGATAGGCATGCTCACATTGGGTAAGTGCTATGCAAAAGCTGGTAAATGCATTATCTTTTTGAGCGTGTGTGTGTCCATCTGTCTGTTATGAGTGTTGTATCTCAGCTATGGGCTGAACATGAGGACAAAAACTATTAGTAGGTTCTTACCTGCCAGGCTGCAGCAGGACAGGCCGTGCCCCAAGGCATACTGAATTCAGCTGCCAAGTAGGTAACGTAAGCCTGCCATAAAACTAGGAACTGCAAATGTCCACGGCCCGCAGTGCCTCTGCTCCTGCCCAAACAAAATATTAAGGGGGAAAACAGAAGTGTAAGCACTTTGTTAGACCTCATTTGGCTTGAGAGGGGATCTGATAATTTATCAGGGGATCTGATAATTTATAATTTATTAATATCTCAAAGGAGGCGGGAGGCAAATAAGTGATGCAGGTTCTTCATGGTGTGTATGTAGGACAAGGAGTAACAGCCTAAGACTTGAACACTGGAAGATCTGCATTAACATGTAGAAGAACCTCTTTATGTTAAAGGTGACAGAGCACTGGAACAGGTTGTTCAGGGAGGTTGTGGACTCTCCTATGGAGAGAGTCAAGACCTGCCTGGGCAACCACCTGTGTGACCTATTGCAGGGTACCTGCTTTGGCAGGGGGTTGGACTCAATGATCTCTTAGGTCCCTTCCAATTCGGCTGCGATTCTGTGAGAACAGATATAAGGTATCATTGCACTCAACAAAATGTGTTTAGTTGGTTTTCAGAAAGATACCAAAGTTGGGTGAAAGTGGAGAAGCCAACATTTGAACTGCTTGTTTCAGTGGTACATGATTAACAAAAGCTTGTCCAGACATGGCTGTTTCAACCAGATTTACTGCCACCTTCATCTATAACTTACCTTGGATCTGAAACCTACTAAAATTAAATTGAACAGTGCACATCTACGCTATACTAAATAACTGCACTACACCAGATAAAAGGTAGCTGGGCTCTACAAGCATTTGCAAAATAGGCCTACACAGCTTACTATTGTTAAGACATTCAGGCACTGCATTACGTTCTGATTTTCAGATGCATGCGCACTTCAAAGTTTAAGGAAGGCACGTGAAAATTTTTTCCATGAGAAACTGACATAAGTAATTGCTGTGAAATCAACATCAGATATCTCATCTACAGTTATCAAAACAAAACAATCATCTAAAAACAAATTTCATCCTAGAAAGCTACTTGTCCCTATAGTAGTATAGATTCAGCTTTCCTTTTGTGGTTGTTTTCCACTTCACACTTCTGTTCCCAGTGAAAACACAGGTCCACTGCTCAGTGGGCAGTACACCTACAGGCAAAGGATGTAGAAGAGGCTGAAATACTTACTTGGTTCTTCTTGTCTCTTGGTTTTTCCTGGTAAAGCTTGTCCTCTACACTCCCTGGTCTGCAAGACCCACAGCAGTGTATGTGAAGCAGAATCCATAAGAGAAAACAGTCTAGGAATGCTTCTACTATTCAAGACATGCACAAATCCATGAGACCAGATGAGATGCCACCAAGGATGCTGCAGAGCTGGCCAGTATCACTGCATGGCCTCACTCTTATCATTTCAGAAAGGTCACAGTGATCGGGGGAGGTTTGTTACCATAAGACAAAGGAAGATTACACTCATCTTCAAGAAGGGAAAGAAGAATCCAGGAAACTACAAGCTGCTGTCTCACATCATTTCCTGAAAAGGGCAGATTCTCCTCAAAGCTATTTCCAAGCCCATATGTGACAGGACTGTGAGTGAACAGCAATTATACACAGGTAAATGACAGCAGACCAGCTGTCTGCCATCCACAATGCAACACCTCACTCTGCAAGCAAGAGAGGGAACAAGCAGTGTGCATCTTGATTTCTGCAAGGTCTTTGAAATGACACCCCGTAACCTAGTCAAACTGCTTATATATGGACTGGACAAATGGTGCTAAACTGAGTAGTGATATGAGTGACATGTCCACGTGTGGTTTTAAAAAGCTCTGAAGGTGCTTGAACACCACTGACAGAAGCTGCAAAAATTCCTGGAGGTGTTCAAAACCCAAGTGGGTGAGGAGGCCACTCCAGGTCCAACTTACCTAATTCTACTATAGGTTTTAAAGTGGCTTATACCTTTCATTCCAAAAGATCCCATGTTTGACAAACTTATAAATATGCAAAAATGAGAAAAAACCCACAACCTAAACTACATCTTAAATGGCCCTCCTTATTAGATTATTAATACTGGGTTGGTTTAGATGCAAGAAGAATGCTCCTTTCTTCACAAAAAGGCTTCTACTGGTGGTACAGCACATCTTCCTATCTGCAGAGGCAAGCGTATTACATAAAACAGAGGGTGTTTTTCTCATTCTGTTAGTGAAGAGGAAACTTGAGCACTTTTTTCCAAGTATTAGTTCCTAAGAAATGCAGAGAAAAGCATAGAAGAAAGTAAAAAAATCCACGATTAAAAAGAATACAGATACAATTGCAATGGAAAAAAAAAAAGTCACAAGTAAGGACTCCAACTACTACAAGACTATATGCAGCAATATTTTTAAAGTTGAAAGTGTGGTGCCTCCAAAAATATAATATATATGGTACAATGAATGCAACATAATGAAGAATTAATTCGTTTTGAATAGATGCAGAGGGACACCACCAGCTAAAATTTCTGAAATCATTTCATTACAATCACTCTTGTTCATCCAGTAAAAGCAAATGCTCTTAGAGCACGTTTTACATCGTATCTTTCTTGAGAAATAATTGAAACAAATTCCTTGAGAATTTAATAATGGCAAATAATGTGATAAAACCAGAAATGGGAGAGCAGCAGAGGAAAAATAACTATCAGTGAAACTGGCAGAGGCCAAGTTGGGTACCTGGGACTACTTCATTTTTCAGAAGCGTCCAGACAGAGCTGTTGGCCTAAATGCTTTCCTAAGATGACCATCTAGAACAACACAAGTGCTTCCTTGTAATGGGCTGAAATTACACATTTTCACAAACATGCTAAAATAACTTTAGAGTGAGAACACAACAGTTTTCACATCACCTAGCCAGAGCTAGCCATTTTAATACAGAAAATAAACACAAAGCAACATACAAATGTAACCAAACAACAACAAACAAAAGAAATAAAATAAAACACATAGATTTACTCAAACACTTATTGGTCCAGAACTGCTGGTACAAAATTTTTGGATCTCTTTTTTTAGAGAACGACTTACACAATGCTGAATACAAAAATCCCTACTGAACAGTTTTTATACATACAAAAAGCACAGCTTATAAAAACCCATAAGACTGACAAACACTCCTGAACAGGTATCATTCAGCAGATCAAACTGCTGCAGTATCAAAGATGTACTTCAATAAGCACCTCCACCACTCAGATAGCTTCAACTAGGAAATAAGGGTTAATACAAAACTTGGGATTCACTACTTAAATAAGGTGTTAGGATTCTTAACCAAATCAATTGCAAGATTGGCTGAAAACCTGAGAAGTCCAGCACTTGAGCTGATCAGCTATCGGTTGTCTTACTACCATAATTTTAACTATACTTTTTTGGAAGAGAAAGGACAACAAATGCACAATCCCATCTGACATTTTGGAGGCATTTGCTGTTAAAAACCTTAAGCATTTGAGTTAAAAGCTTTAACTTGCTCACAAATGAGGATGTGTTACAAGTTGGTCCTCCAAAATAACTTCACAAAACAAGGTCCAACTCTCCACTGCATACATTGCATCTCTGACTCTTCTCCAAAGCACTTTTCTATTTCTCCTATTTGGAGATTTTGAACACACATTCCTTTACATGCTTTGCACAGACAGTGAAGCATTTCAAACCTACTCAACTTGCATATAATGAATACAAAGCAGGAGGATCACCTGATTTACGCTTTTCTGAGCCACTGGTTGACTTCTTGATGGCATGTTGTCTTTAGCCTTTAGTGCAAGATTATACTGGATATAAGCTTCTCATATCCCTGAGGAATTGCTGTTAAGTCATGCCACAGTACTGGCTCAAATTGGACTTTATTTCACAACTTCCATAGAAAGTAACTGACTTCCTTCAATGATTGTCATCAAAGAGTGACTTGTTTAACAGTAAATCTTCATATAGAAAAATGTTAATTTAGTGGAAGACTTTGGTAGGAAAAGGGTGTACAGCTGAACATTACTGATACAAACAAGTTTCCATTAAAAAGAAAAATCAAACCAAGTTTTAAAAAGAATCAAAAAATACTCCTCCAAATTTGCTCACAAGTTTGCAGACACCCAAGCAGCTCAAAACGTCAAAGTGCAAACAAGAACCAAGTAAAATACATGACAGCAGCTTTACTTCTCCTTTAAACATTTACATTTTTTATATTTGAAGAAAATATACATCCTATTTCTCCTTCAGTACCAGACTCATCTGCAGGTGATGATCTGTTCTCATTACCCAGGTGCTCCTTGAAACTGCTGCTGCCGTTGTTCCAAAGCCTGCTGACTTAACAGCTGCTGTTGTTTCTGTAGAAACTGCACTACTTCTGGACTTCTGAGCAGGGACTGCAAGGCAAGAAAGCAGGCTTGACTTCAAAGGAATCAGAGAATTAAGTATCAACCTTTGTGATGAATTACAAAACACAAAGAAGTCAGAAGATGAGAGTACCTAAAACTGTTTGCATCTTACCCTCTAACCTAGAATGGGAAAGGCAAATAGGAGCTGGTTAAATGAACACAACTGAAGAAATTCCACTGCTAATCGTGATGCCGATTATCACTGGACATGAGATTTTAAGAATCAACTTCCTTTAAGCCAGCTTACAGTGAACGAACAGAAATTTGCTGAAACAAGTGGAAAGAGAGGAACAAGCCTAAAGCTGCAGATGGATACTTGCAAAGAGCACTGCTCAACCCTTTCCAAACAGTTACAGCCTGCCTTCCAACCAATGAACACTGTTCATTCTCATTGCTGCAAGGTGGCAACACAAGAGTTTGTAAGGCCAAATGGCAAATCAAGTTTGGAAGTGATCCAAAATATAAAGCAGGAAAAGGGTTATTTTCCAGCCAAATTAATCCCCTAGGCTGGCTGTTCATTGAACATGATGGACATCTCACTGCATCAGGTACTGCGACCCTGCAACTCAGATTTACAGTTAAAGGGACCAGCAGTTTCCAGGTAAGGGCAGAGAACTTTATGCTATTACAAAGCAATTCTGCAGAGGCTACAGCTGAAAACAACAATTCTTCAGACAACTTAAACCTCCAAGTGCACCAAATAGGTAAGATTACTAACAACAACTGTCTCACCTAACAGATGTGCAGCCTGCTTCTCCATAGCTTGTTAGTTTTTTCAAGTTACTTCACTTCACAGGGTAGTTCTGTTTTACAGCATTTCAATGAATTCTTCCCCATTCTACTACCCTGACTGCTGCAGCCTCTGGTGCAAAACACCAGTAGTGTGTGACACAAAACACCCGCTACCGATGGAGAAAATTAGTCTGTGTACTTAAGATTTCTCTGATGTTTCTTTAAAGTTTCTGAACAAGGGCTGCAAGAATTCTAAAACTGCTTTGCACTGCTAACAGAGAGCAGGCAGACCGTTCTACTAGCTTCTGGAAGGAGACTGTAAGAAAACCAATGAAGTAGAAAGAACTGCAATAACAAAGCCCAAACAATAGTTAAGTACTGAGTTATTCCCCTTCATTAGGGGCAATTCTTTAAGAAGACTTACAGAAACAACACAAGTGTTTCAAAACATAACCTATGCCATGCGTGCACTCTACGTGTAACACAGCAATACAGTATGCTCAGTTTGTTCTACCAACAAACAGTATGCAATTTTGTGATACACTAAGCCTACCAAACTCACAACAGCAGTTTGCAGAACAGTGTAGGGACTCTTCAAGTTTATCTGAAACTTTACAGAAAAGGTGGGTTCACCAATTAAAACCTACTTAGTACAACAAAAAAAACCTCAACTTCAGTTACCAAAGCAACCATCAATAAATTCAGTAACCTTTGCATTCCATGCAGCAGCACAGTCAGACACCTGAACTGCAACATATTTCAAATCTGAAAATATGCACGTGCATCACTGAACTGACTTTATCCTTCACAAAGGGTGACAGCGAAACAGTGCTACACCACCTTTGTGTATCTGAGTTCCTCTAAGACAACACAACTTACCAGTCTCTTTTTATTCAGTACTTGTTCTAAAAGGGTCGGTCTTGCTGGGCGATCTCCAATGGAGCCTGTTCTCTGTTTTGAGGCAGAAACTGAACCTTCAACACAATCCTGAGCATTAAAGACAAAACAAAATAGAGAAGTCAGCCTGGTATCATACATTTACTTTTTACTGCTGAAGAATCTTAAGAGTAAAGAATCTGCTCATCTTATTGATCTGCAGAGGAAAACAGCAACAGAACGCAACTGTATTTATTCAACATCTGATCTCTTTTCCTTTCCACATTATCTTCACTGTTCTATCAGCCACAGAGAATGCTCCAGCAATACAGATGAGTTAGTCTTCTAAACTTCAAAACAAACCAAGTTAGGTACTTAAAAACATTTCATGTTGTACTGAGGGACATGGTTTAGAGGGAAATACTGTTGATAGGCAGGCAGCTGGACTGGATGATCTTGAAGGTCTACCTTCCAACCTTGGGGATTCTATGATCCTAAGTTACTATGGTTAGTTCATGTCCTGAATTTGACTGTGTTTCTGGTAAGTGAAATTATTCACAACACTTCAGTCGTTTGTGTAAGTGAATTACGTTTAGCATTTGCAGTTGGGTGGAAGTGACAGTTTTTTTAATAGCAAAACAAAACATACTTCAGTATACTAGCATGGACCTGTCAAAGCCACATGCAAGAAACAATAAAATTTACATACTTTTCATTTGCATTTTTATCCTGTTCCTTGTACAACCACCACTTACAAATTAGAGCTACATTCTATGAAGACATTCTATGACGTTCTACAGAGAAAATATTCATGCTTTGGAAAATTTCAGTCATGTTAACCTTAAGCAGATCACATTCACAACTTAGGACATCTTTCTTGGCTTTCTATTACTTCTCTCCTCCTGTCCAACACCCTCCTCATCCTTACAAATCTCTGTCAATACTTCCTTTCTACCTGAAAAGCTTAAGTTCAGAACAAAACAATCATCTAACCCACCTGTCTTTCACTTCAATCCTGTCCACAAAGGTGAGAATTAAAACCTCTATTAAGAATCTGACTCCAGAGGTGCTTGTTAAGGCCAAAAAAATATACTACCAGTGCAACAAAACAGTGCGCCAAGTTTAGCACTAACACAAAATCATAGAATGGTTTGAGTTGGAAGGGACCTTTAAGATCATCTAGTTCCAACCCCATAGCATGGACACCTCCCCCTAGACCAGGTTGCTCAAAGCCCCATCCAGCCTGGCCTTGAATGCTTCCAGGGAGGGGGCATCCACAGCCTCACCGGGCAACCTGTCCCACTGTCTTAACATCCTCACAGTAAAGAATTTCTTCCTAATATCTAGTCTAAATCTACCCTCTCCCAATTTAAAGCCATTTCCCCTTGTCTCGTGACCACATGTCCTTATAAGAAGTTCTGCTATCCTGCTTTCTTCTACAGGTTCAGGCCTTGAAATTGTTACATTCCAACCAACTTGGGAGAAACAAGCCCTCTGTTTCCCAACGTGCAGCAATCACTACTGTATACCACAGACCAAAAAACCTTAACCCACTGCTACATGTGGGTTAAGCTCAAATTGTATACCTCTCCCACACTGCCTCCTGAGTTACAGGAAGCATTTGTATTACCACTTTGTGGCCTGATCATGCCAAATCATTAGGAAAGGAGTAATAAAGTTGTACCAGTATGAAAACCCAGAATTCACCTGCATCCTGGTAACTGCATGCAACAGTTGTTTTTTCCTCTCAACTAAGAAGCAGAATCACAGAACGGCTTGGGTTGGAAGCAAAATCAAAGTTCATCACGTTCCAACCCCTGTGCTGTAGGCAGGGTTGCCAGCTACTAAATTGAGCACTAGATCAGGCTGCCCAATGTGCAACCCAACCCAGCAGTGAACACCTCCAGGGATGGGGCACCCACAGCCTCTCTGGGCAGCTGTGCCAGCACTTTACCACCCTATCAGTGAAGGGTTGACACCTAACTTAACTCTCCCACTCTTTAGCTTAAAGTTGTCTCCCCGTGTCTTATCGCTAAGTACCCACGTAAAAACTTAATTTCCCCTCCCGCTCATTAGGTCTCCTTAAGGCTGCAAAGATGCGTCCCTAGAACCTCCTGCCTCGCAGGCTGCGTAGCAACTTGGGAGCTGGAGACGCTTCACAGAACGGCAAAGGGGAAGCAGACAGAAGCATACGAGTTCCCGCTGCAAAACAAACGCTGCGGACGAGGCACAAAGCAGGCAGCGCTGGCTGTGCCGCTTTTCCACCCCGCAGCCCAGCGGCCCCCCTCCTCACCTCAGCCCTGGGGCCGCCCCCCGCGTTGGCCGCCGCGGCCCCGCCGCCTCCCAAGGCCTGGTCGCTCTTCTTGCGCTTGTACTTGTCCTTGTACATCTTATTGCGGTGCCGCTTGCACATCCACGGCTTGCGCTGCTTCGCCACCTGCGTGGTGGTCTCGCTGCAGCCCTGGTAGGTGCAGCTCTTGCAGCCGCCGCCCGCCGCCGCCGCCTCGCCGCTGGAGGCCGCCGCCTGCTCCTCCTCCTCCAGCTCCTCGGGGCTGGCCGTGCTCTCGCCGCCTGCCGCCGCCGCTGCCGTCTCCTCCTCCCCCGCTTCGGCCTCGCCGTCGCCGGGGCCCAGCTCGTAGAACAGCATCAGGCCGCCCGCGGCGGACGGCGGCAGCGGCGCATCGGCGCCCGGCAGCACTCCGCCTCCCGCCGCCGCCGCCGCCTCCTCCTCGCCGCCGCACGGCTGCATCACGAGCAGCGCCAGCTGCGGCGGCGAGGAGGAGGAGGAGGCGGACGAGGAGGCGGAGGACGGGGGAGCGGCGGCGGGGCTGGCCCGCAGGGCGCCGGTCAGCGAGCCCGCCGCGCCCGACGGCGCCTCAGCCCGCAGCTGCCCTAGCGCGCAGGCGCCGCCGCCCCGCGCTCTCTGCGCATGCACGCCGGGGCCGCCTGCGTGGCGCCATCTTGTTCGCCAGTGGAAAGGCTCCTTGCTGGCAGAGCTTCTGGGTAGTGTCCTGGAGTATTATCTTGCTGCTCTCGGGTGAAGAACCGCTTCTCAGCGCTATCACAGCAGTTGGTGTGCTCTGGGCTTATCAGTTCCTTGTCTTGCTGCAGGCCTCGCTAGCATGCGTGTGGAAATGGGTGTCCTGATGAGGATCTGCATGTGCACCGTCCCTTGACTGCTTGTAGCCCTGCTCGCTGGCCAGTGCCAGCGGGAGAGGGGTACCGAAAGATGTTGCTGTGTTGCCACTTTGCCTCCTTATGAATCACAGAATCATGGAGTGGCTTGGGTTGGAAGGGACCCCAATGATCGTGAAGCTCCAACCCTCCTGCCACAGGCAGGGCCAACAACTTCCAAATTTAATACTACGCCAGGCTGCCCAGGGCCCCATCCAACCTGGCCTTGAACACCTCCAGGGATGGGGCATCCACAACCTCTTTGGGCAACCCGTTCCAGCACCTCACCACTCTCTCTGTGAAAAACTTCTCCTCAACATCCAATCTAAACCTTCCCTCCTTGAGCTTTAAACCATTCCCCTGTGTCCTATCACCCAAGTGAAAGATTGATTCCCCTCCTTTTTACAATCCCTACTGGGAGGCTGCAGTGTGGAGTCTTCACAGCCTTCTCCAGGCTGAACAAGCCCAGCTCCCTCAGCCTGTCTTCTTAGGGGAGGTGCTCCAGCCCTCTGATCGTCTTTGCGGCTCTCCTCTGGACCCTCTCCAACAGCTTCACATCTTTTCTGTGTTTTGGGCCCCAGACCTGGATGCAGTACTCCAGATGGGGCTTATATAGGTCGCTTTGTTTGGCAATAGGGATTAGTATGTTAGTTTAAGAACCAGTACATTAGCAAAACGAATCCATAAGTGATAGTCTAAAACTTTCCACTTCACCTTTAGGGGATGAACAGTCTTGTTTTTCCTCAATAATTTTGCACAGGGGACATAATAGAATACTTTTATCTTCTGCCTCAATGATTTTGCCTCATGAGAAGCACTGGAGTCACAATAGTGTATTTCTATCTTTTTCCTTAAAACGTGCAAGGACATTTTCCTTCAGTTCCGCGTACAGTTTTTAAAAAGTAGCTCACCATGGCCTAATAAGCAGTGGGAATCTTCCAGACTGGGGAAAAGTGGATGGAAGTGGGTCAAAGGCTTCAGTGATGAAGCTGATGGTGAAAAGGGAGAAGAAGTAGGTGGGCACTTGATCACCCTAGATATCACTGAGCATGCCCAAAGGAACGTCAGCATGTATCTATGAGACCACGAAAAAGAATGAATATGTATGCCAGTGTACTGCATCTGTACATCTTAACGGTTTAAATATAGAACCTGAACTCTGGAAAGGCGTGCTTGCTTGTCAGGTCACCTGGTACATATCATGAGGAATAGAGGAATGCTGTTTTCTAACACCACATATGAGTTAGAGAGTCTTCTTCCCAGATTTCAGATGACAGGGCATCATGAAAACGGGGTAGAATGGCCACCATTCTGCTACTTGCAACTTCCAGCTTTCTTATCCTGTCATTGGTTTGGGCATGGATTATCACTTTATCTCGCTTCAGCATTACTTGTGGACGCTTTTAGCTATTACAAGACTCATCTGAGCAGCTGAGACCATGTTCACCCAATTTGTACCTTTACAAATATTTTCTAAGTAAACTACTTTAGTATGATTGGACAGCTGGAGCACCTCTCCTATGAAGAAAGGCTGAGGGAATTGGATTTGTTTAGCTTGGAGAAGGTGCCTGGGAGACCTCATTGCAGCCCTGCAGTTCTTGGAGCTTCCAGGCAGTCAGGGTACTGACTCTTACATGATCCGATAGTGACAGGATAAAGGGGAACGGCTTTAACTAAAAGAGGGAGAAATTAATTTAGATGTTAGCAAGAAATTCTTTACACAGAGGGCCAGGAGGCACAACTGCCCAGAGAAGCTATGGGTGCCCCATCCCTGGAGGCATTCAAAGCCAGGTTGGATGGGGCCCTGGGCACTCTGAGCTGCTGAGTGGCACTGCCCATGGCAGGGGGTTGGAGCTCAATGATTTTTAAGGTCTTTTCCAACTTAAGCCTATTCTATGGAATTTACATTACTTATGGAATGTAAATAAACCCTGTATCATTTATTTCAGCCACCTTTTAACTCCTCAGTCCTGTCTTCTTTTTTTCTTTTTTTCTTTTTTCTTTTTTTTCCTGGAGTGAAATTGAATTAAATCTATCCAAAAAAAAAAAAAAAAAAAAAGTAATTATTTTGTCAACCTTTCATTTTTCTTCTGTGCCATCTTTCTGTGCTACAGGTGCTGAATTTTCCTAACTTCCACAGACAAGTCCCACTGACTTTCATCTCAGTGATCATCTGCTATTTACTCCCCCTTCATTTTTCTTTTCTCTCCATGAGTTCTAGCCTTACTCATTGTACACAGAAGTTCATCTCATATTAAAGAAACCGTGCTGATCCCATGATCCCATTTGTTCTTTGGTAATTGCCACAGCTGTCATTAAGACAAATGATTATGCCATTTACAGTTGTAGCCATTCACTTTCAACCTTGACCATGCCTAAGACACTTCTCCCTCATCTGTCAAAACAGCTAATGACTCAGACAAATTACAATGAACTGAGTACTCTATCCTCATCTCCTTTGACCTGTCAATCATCTTTACAATTAGCAAGATGGCTCCCTGCTCTACTGTTTAAACTAATATTGAAGACTATTTCTTTTTGTCAATGGAGACACTTCCCCCACACCTGCTTCACAGCGCCTTTTGTTTCTGCCACAGCCACTCCTCACAACACCTTCTTTGTGACTCTCAGCCTTATATCTGCACTAGTAGTTAAGCATGTAACTATAACATACAGCTTTAACATTCTGCCTTTTATCTCTTTAGATGGTGAGCTCAGAATAGAGGATATCAGTAAATATTTTGAGGGTTTGTTTATTTCTTTTTTTTTTTTTTTTTTGCATTGTAGCTCAATTGAAGTCGTTTTTGTTTATTCTTTTGAGTTTGAATACAGCTTGAAAGAATGCCTACTTAAAATTCTAAGTATCCCTGACATGAATTAAAATAAATTCAAAAGTAATAATGAATCCAAAATAAAAGCATTTTTCTCCACCCACACTCACTTCACACCTTCACACATCCACACAATAATTAAAATGCAAATGAGAAGTTGGAGGCTGATACTGATGATATTCAAGAAAAAAGTGCCACTGCTTTTTTCAAACCCCACCGAGACAGGTAGATTTTGGTTCAGGCCAGTAAGACCAGCAGATTTAAACAGCTCGAGGCTAAAGGAGAAAACCATTTCCAGTGCAAAGGTTTCCATGCAAATGCTCTTCTAGAAAAGCCCTGTCTTTTTGAATGAGCTGGATTCTGCCTCAGACACCCCAGTAACACCTGGGGATCTCATTGGAGAGTGTTTCTAGAAGCACGTTTCCATTCCCAAGTTCTCATTTTCCTCATCTGAGGGAAAAAATAAATCAGAAAACTAACAGTGCCTTACAAAAATACCGAGGGGGTTAATTAATTAGCAAATTGATTTGATATTTAGGAAGCGTGTTATTGAACTACTATATAAGGTATTAACCAATTCTCATTACTACAGGACCTTGCCCTTTGCTTGCTTGAGGGCGTAGAAACATAAGCAGAAAATAAATTTGGAACCACTAACAAATTAAGCCCTTCTTAAAAAACTGCAGCGGTGTGGGTTGTTTTTTGTTTTTTGTTTTTTTTTTTTTTTTTCCCTGCCTGGTTTTCTGAGTAAGAGAAACATTGTGGCAAGAAGTAAGATTTATTGCAACAATTTAAAAAATTGCACCTATTTAAAAAATACAAGGTGTCAACATACCAAGTTTTCAGTGACTGGAGAGCCTGAGCTGTCCCGTTTACAGGCCAAAATAGTACTAAGGAGTTTAGCTGCAGTAAAACTTTCAAATTTGGGAAGTCATGTCTCCATTTTCGTGTGAGTGGTGGTATGAATACTGTTCACTCAATTGCTGCATATTTTACACTGAAGTGCATTTGCCTTTATCTTGAAGAGCACAGGCTACATTAAGAACTCCAGTGAGAAGAGGGACTATGAAATTCATGCATCCAGTGGTGTGATGGCCCTACAAATAAAATATAATCTAAATGCAAATTATCTTGTAACCTTATTGCTCGGTTATAAAATGAAAAGGTCAAGTCAAGGGGAGCACTTGGATTTTTAAAACAGCTTTGAAAGGTACTTGAAACATACAGGGGAATGAGGACTGGTGGAGAAATCTGAGAAGTAATTATTTTTAAAGCACATCTCTTTAGAAGCACTTCATTTGATCATCAAAATGCAAGTACATAGGTAACAGAGATTTTCTTTCTTTATTGTACCTCTTAGTGCTTAGCAATCCCCCCATTTATTCCTCCCACCTGCTCTTGGATTCCAGTTATATTGCACAGTGGTACAGTCATGGAAAGACACAAAAGCCTCAGCAACTTCAAAACAGATATTCCCTCAAAGGAAGGCGAGGTGCAGAGCGATCAGTATGTTCGCTGATACTAATTCTGAGGCAGCGATGACTTCTAAATCTTTCTATCGGTAGCAAAATAAATGTTGCTGCGATTGTCAGTTTGTTAAAACTTGGTTTTCAAGTAAGTCTACAAAAGTTTAATTTCAATTTTATCAAATGCTGTAAATATTGCTTTTGAAGTGTCTAGTCATAGTAATCTTGATTGCTTTCAAGTGTCTAGTCATAGTAGAAAGCCAGAAGCGTATCTGTCCTTCTGAATTATGCATTAATTTATCTTTGCAAATGATTGAAATAAATAAATAACCCCAACTGTGTGAACAGAAATTTGGTTTGAATTATAGATACATAGTGGTTGTAATGCATGTATGGCTGATATAAAATGGCCATCAGAAATGGATTTCTTTCCCCACACCCTTCTCATTTTCTGTCTTTA